CTCTAATAGTTTCTTTGTAGACCCTTTTGGGTCTGCTAGGTATAGAATCATGTCATCTGCAAATAGTGATAATTTAAGTTCTTCTTTTCCTATTTTGATGCCTTTAATTTCTTTCGTCTGTCTAATTGCTCTGGCCAGTGTTTCGAGAACTATGTTGAACAGAAGTGGTGAGAGAGGGCATCCCTGTCTTGTTCCAGATTTTAGAGGGAAGGCCTTCAATTTTTCTCCATTCAGAATGATGCTAGCCTGAGGCTTAGCATAGATTGCTTTTACAATATTGAGGTATGTTCCTGTTATCCCTAGTTTTTCTAGAGTTTTGAACATAAAGGGATGCTGTACTTTGTCAAATGCTTTTTCCGCATCTATCGAGATGATCATATGGTTCTTATTTTTAAGTCTATTGATGTGGTGAATAACATTTATTGATTTCCGTATATTGAACCAGCCTTGCATCCCAGGGATGAATCCTACTTGATCATGGTACACAATTTTTTTGATATGTTTTTGTATCCGATTCGCCAGAATTTTATTGAGGATTTTTGCATCTAGGTTCATTAGAGATATTGGTCTGTAGTTTTCTTTCTTTGAAGTGTCTTTGTCTGGTTTAGGTATCAGGGTGATGTTGGCCTCGTAGAATGAATTTGGAAGTTCTCCCTCTTTTTCTATTTCCTGAAGTAGCTTGAAAAGTATTGGTATTAGTTCCTCTTTAAAGGTTTTGTAAAACTCTGCTGTATACCCATCCGGTCCTGGGCTTTTCTTAGTTGGTAGTCTTTTGATGGTTTCTTCTATTTCCTCAATTGATATTGGTCTGTTTAGGTTGTCTATATCCTCCTGACTCAATCTGGGCAGATCATATGACTTAAGAAATTTATCGATGCCTTCACTATCTTCTAATTTATTGGAGTATAAGGATTCAAAATAATTTCTGATTATCTTCTGTATATCTGAAGTGTCTGTTGTGATATTGCCTTTTTCATCCCGTATGCTAGTAATTTGAGTTCTCTCTCTTCTTCTCTTTGTTAGCATGGCTAAGGGTCTGTCGATTTTATTTATTTTTTCAAAGAACCAACTTTTAGTTTTGTCAATTTTTTCAATTGTTTCTTTTGTTTCGATTTCATTAATTTCAGCTCTGATTTTAATTATTTCTTGCCTTCTACTTCTTTTGCTGTTGTTTTGCTCTTCTTTTTCAAGGATTTTAAGATGAAGTATGAGATCATTTATTTATTGGTTTTTTTCTTTTTTTAAGGAATGAACTCCAAGCAATGAATTTTCCTCTTAGAACTGCTTTCAGTGTGTCCCATAGATTCCGATATGTTGTGTCTGTGTTTTCATTTATCTCTAAGAATTTTTTAATTTCCTCCTTGATGTCTTCTATAACACACTGATCATTCAGTAACCTATTGTTCATTCTCCAAGTGATGCATGATTTTTCCTTCCTTCTTTTATCGTTGATTTTCAGTTTCATTCCATTATGATCAGATAAGATGCATGGCATTATCTCTACTCCTTTATATTGTCTAAGAGTTGCCCTGTGACATAATATATGATCTATTTTTGAGAAGGATCCATGTGCTGCTGAGAAAAAAGTGTAACTGCTTGATGTTGGGTGGTATATTCTATATATGTCAATTAAGTCTAGGTTATTAATTGTGTTATTGAGTTCTATAGTTTCCTTATTCACCTTTTGTTTGGAAGATCTGTCCAGTGGTGAGAGAGGTGTGTTGAAGTCTCCCATGATTATTGTATGGTGGTCTATTAGACTCTTGAACTTGAGAAGAGTTTGTTTGATGAACATAGCTGCACCATTGTTTGGGGCATATATATATTTATGATTGTTATGTCTTGTTGGTGTATGGTTCCCTTGAGCAGTATGTAGTGTCCCTCTTTATCCCTTTTGATTAACTTTGGCTTGAAATATATTTTATTTGATATGAGTATGGACACTCCTGCTTGTTTCCAAAGTCCATATGAGTGATATGATTTTTCCCAACCTTTCACCTTCAGCCTATGTATGTCTTTTCCTATCAAATGCGTCTCCTGTAGGCAGCATATTGTTGGGTCTTGTTGTGTGATCCATTCTACTAGCCTGTGTCTCTTAATTGGTGAGTTTAAGCCATTAACATTTAGGGTTATTATTGAGATATGGGTTGTTCTTCCAGCCATATTTGTTTATTTATGTTACTAAACATGGTTTGTTTTCCTCTTCGATTATTTTCCCCCCCCTTTACTGTCCTACCTCCCACTGTTGGTTTTCATTGTTATTTTCCATTTCCTCTTCCTGTAATGTTTTGCTGAGGATGTTTTGAAGAGATGGTTTTCTAGGTGCAAATTCTTTTAACTTTTGTTTATTGTGGAAGGTTTTAATTTCATCTTCCATCCTGAAGCTTAATTTCGCTGGATACACAATTCTTGGTTGGAACCCATTTTCTTTCAGTGTTTGAAATATGTTATTCCAGGATCTTCTAGCTTTCAGAGTCTGTGTTGAAAGATCAGCTGTTATCCTGATTGGCTTACCCCTAAATGTAATCTGCTTCCTTTCTCTTGTAGCTTTTAAAATTCTCTCCTTATTCTGTATGTTGGGCATCTTCATTATAATGTGTCTAGGTGTGGACCTCTTATGATTTTGCACCTTCGGCGTCCTGTAGGCTTCTAGGATTTGGGATTCTGTCTCATTCTTCAAGTCTGGGAAGTTTTCTCGTATTATTTCATTGAATAGATTGCTCATTCCTTTGGTTTGGAGCTCTATACCTTCCTGTATCCCAATGACTCTTAAGTTTGGTCTCTTTATGTTATCCCATATTTCTTGGATGTTCTGCTCATGGTTTCTTAACAGTCTTTCTGAGCTGTCTATGTTCTTTTCAAGTTGAAATACTTTGTCTTCATTGTCTGATGTTCTATCTTCTAAGTGTTCTACTCTGCTGGTAGTATTCTCCATTGAGTTTTTAAGTTGGTTTATTGCTTCCTGCATTTCTAGGATTTCTGTTTGTTTGTTTTTTATAACCTCTATCTCCCTGTATAGTTGATCTTTTGCTGCCTGGATTTGTTTGTGTAATTCATTGTCGAAGTGATCTTTCATTGTCTGATTTTGCTGTCTGATGTCTTCCTTGAGACTCCAGATCATCTGAAGCATGTATATCCTGAATTCTTTATCTGACATTCCATCTGCTGCAGCTGTTACCTCTTCTAAAGTTGAATTGACCTGCATTGCTTGTGGTCCTTTCTTTCCTTGTCTTTTCATACTGCTTGCGTTTCTTTCTGCTTGGTGAAACTGTTGTGTTTTTGAAAAATTTTCCCCCTATATATTTATTTATTTATTTATTTATTTTTTTTTTTAATATTTATTTTTTTTTTTTTTAGTTTTCGGCGGACACAACATCTTTATTTGTATGTGGTGCTGAGGATCGAACCCGGGCCGCACGCATGCCAGGCGAACGCTCTACCGCTTGAGCCACATCCCCAGCCCCCCCCTATATATTTATATTGCTCTTGTATAGTTGAAAAGTCTCTCTTGCAGGGTGGGGCGGCCGTCTGCCTACCTTGCAGGCGCGGGTGGCGGCTCTGCTCTGCCCCTCCTCCAATTGGTGTGATGTGTCTACCACGCCCGCGGACCGCTGGGCCTGTGCTGCCGGTCGGTCGCAGGTCTGCCTACCTTGCAGGCGCGGGCGGCGGCTCTGCCCTGCCCCTCCTACCACGCCCGCGGACCTCTGGGCCTGTTCTGCCGGTCGGTCGCAGGTCTGCCTACCTTGCGGGCACGGGTGGCGGCTCTTCTCTGCCCCTACTCCAATTGGGGTTATGTGACTACCACGCCGGCGGGCTGCTGGGCCTGTTCCGGGCGCGGGCGGTGGCTCTGCTCTGCCCCTCTGGCTTGATGACAAAGTGAGAGAGACTCGGGTGTTTGTGACTCACTTCCTTTACCAGGAGACCAACTGTTTCTGTCGCCGCTGGTATCGATGAAGTTCTCTCCTCCGCCGCTTTCTGATGACATCAGATCTCTGCCATGTTGGTATCCCATGCGAATGGCAGCATTTCGTTCCCTTTGCCGGGTGACCAAAGCAACGGGTGAGTCCTGACCGGCCCTCACAAGCCCTGTCTCAGTCCTGTTGCCACTGCCTATGAAGGCTCGGTTGGTATTTACCCCCACAGTATTCAGCAGGACCCGGACCGAGAAGCAGTTTCCACAGGTTCTTTATCCCTGGGCCAGACCAGTTCCAGGAGCCAGAATTCGGCTGCTCCGTGCTCGGTGTATGTTCTGATAGGAGCAGGCTCCAAGAAGCAGTTTCCGCGGGTTATTTAGCACTGAGCCTGAGTAATTTGTCTGCGAGCTGCAGGCGAATGGCAGCCTGAAATTACCTGTTCTATGGCTGAATGAGCTGCGATCAGTCGAAAACAGGGATGGTGACGTCAGCTCTCCAAGATGGTGGCCGCTGGCTTCCTCTGTGGTCTGACCGGTGTGGAGAACCGAATTGGACCGCTTCCTTCCCCCGTCTCAAACCCAGAATTCAGCACTGAGTATGGTGATTGCACAGCTGGCAGAAGCCCGCAGAAACTGCAGCGCTGTATCTTTGCGTTGCTACCTCCTCGTTTCCCAGCGTGCGCCGCAGACTCTAGCCGCGGGGCGATTTGCTGAATAAGCAGCGTGACCCTCCGTGCGGACAAATCTCTCGCGTTTGAGCCCCCGTAGCTGATCCTCGTGCGATGGAAATCCTTCCTCTAGGTTTTGGAGCACCCCAATTTTGCTGGAAATTCCTAACAAGATAGCTTTTAGCCGTTCTAACTCGTCATTCTCCCGCACAGTGACGCGGTACACGGGGGTAATGCTCTCCCTTTGCCGACATCTTCCCCCGGATCCAGACATGTATACTTAAGTAGCAAGTATAATAAAATGTTAATTACAGTATCTAGGAGGTGACAGCTCTATTGGTGCTTATTCTTTCAACTTTTACACACTGAAACTTTAAAATAATATAATAGAAAAAAAATTAATACTTTATGTTTCTTACCAACGCCTAGAGTTATTAACAATCACTCCGTTATCTATCGAGAATGTATCTGTTGGTAGTCCAGCAATATTCCAAGCTCTAATTTTTACTGGATCACCGAGGGTCTTACTTAGTGAGAATTCTTCTGAGCATGGGATTTTTTTGTCCTGTAGGAAATAAACAAAAATCTGATGTTTTCTTTCATCTTGCTAATTGGAACATTTTTTAGATTAAAAAATATATTTAATTACCATTAGGTATTATGTAATAACTCTAAGAGCCAGGGAAGGGAAAAACTGAATTAAATGTTGAGCTGTAAAAGTATTTTACTGATCAAAGCAGCAGCAAACAAAAACAAGAAGCAAGAAAAACCCTGTATTTTCACTTTCGCCCAAAATACTTCAAAATGTACTTGAATGTTCTAAAACAAAACTTACTAAATATAAAACTAGTACCTTGCACAACATGCTCCAATCTTCTGTACAAGTTTGTCGAAAGCCAGAAGTGAAAGCACCAAGGTAAGCTATTACTCCTGCTGATACTAAGACATCACCAGTTAAATTTTCATATGTTATCTGAAGGTCATCTGCAGCTTGCGCCCATCTGTGTGATTAGCCAGAGGCAAAAGAGACATACAATAGATAGGGAACAACAGAAGACAGTAAGTAAAAGGGCAAGAGGCTTCCAAACCAAATTCTATAACAAAAAGTTATTTAAACCTTGGGTACTTGTTTATCTGTACAATAAGGAGATTGGATCCCTTCTAACGCTAATATGCTATTATTTATACCTATATATCTATATTATTTGAATGATAATCTGCCTTTCATTTTTAGAATATTAGGTAAATGGATGGCATTGGAGAAGATAATGCTAAGTGAAGTTAGCCAAAAAATCCCCAAAAAACAAATGCCAAATGTTTTCTCTGATATAAGGATGCTGACTCATAGTGGGGTAGGGAGGGGGAGCATGGGAGGAATAGATGAATTCTAGATAGGGAAGAGGGGTGGGAGGGAAAGGGAGGAGGCAGGGGACTAGCAAGGATGGTGGAATGTGATAGACATCATTATTCAAAGTACATGTATGAAGACACGAATTGGTGTCAACTACTTTATATATAACCAGAGATATGAAAAATTGTGCTGTATATGTGTAATAAGAATTGTAATGCATTCCGCTATCATTTATTTTTTAGAAAATAAAAAATAATATTAGGTATTTCTTACAGGACCTAGCTCTTCAGAACAAGCAAAAACAAAACATGAGCATTTTGCCTAATAATTTTTGCTAGGATGATTTAGTCTAATGTTCCTACTATTTGTTTCAGTATTCATTGTTAGACTGTTAACAGAAAACATTTGCAACTCATTATAAAAACTGTATGTAAGTTGTATAGAAGTTGAAATACTAAGATTGATATTTTTCTCATTTAATGGAACCCTCACAATAAAAAGTTATATTCCAAAACCATCTGATCTGCACTACAAAACACTTTCAAAGACATATTACCTTATCATGCTATGGATTGGACAAATATAATTAATAAATGAAATAGTTTGCTGTCCAGCCCAGGTAAGTAGATTAGAAGAAAGCTAACTGCCTTTATTAAATTAAATCAGTTTTATCTTCTTTGAAATAGTTTAAACCATTTTATTACAAAAAAAATTTTGAACACCTACAAAATTGGGAAGAATTATATAACTAACAACTACATATCACAAATGAAAAACCAGGGCTGGGGTTGTGGCTCACTGGTAGAGTGCTTGCCTAGCATGTGTGAGGCACCGGGTTCGATCCTCAGCACCACATAAGTAAATATCAGGCTGAGGTTGTGGCTCAGTGGTAGAGTGTTCACCTAGTACATGTGAGGCCCTTAGTTTGATCCTCAGCACTGAAGGGAAAGCAAGAGATGGGTAGGCAAGAAATGAAAGACTGAGACCAGGCAGAGATACATAGGACAGTTTATTTATAAGAGCTGACAAAATAAAGGCAATCTCTCTATAGAAGAGAGAGGCAAAACAGGCTTGAGTTCTGCGACTTTTATGGGGGAGGCTCAGTAGTCAGAGACAAGCAGGTCCTAATGTAGTTGGTTAAGGGCTGGGTTGGTATGAGGGAGTGGTGAGCCTTTCTCAGAAAAGCCCTTGGGCAGGAAAGTGAAACTTTTTTCTTAAATTGGTGGCTGTCACTTAAGATGGCCATCCAGATACTAAGCAAGGAACTTATAAGCACCACATAAAAATAAATAAATAAAATAAAGGTATTGTGTTCACTACAACTAAAAAATAAATATTTAAATAAATAAATAAAGGTATTGTGTCCATCTATAACTAAAAATATTTTAAAAAATAGTTACTAACTGCCTTTTTTTATAAAGATGTAGATAGATACAATACCTTTACTTATTTATTTTTATGTGGTGCTGAGGACCGAACCCAGTGCCTCACACTTGCTAGGCAAGCACTCTACCACTGAGCTACAACCCCAGCCTCTACTAACTGCCTTTTTAAAACTATTTAAAAGCAAGTTACAAACACCATGCTCAACACTGATATTCATCTTTGGAGAGGTCTAGCCAAGTATCTTGTACAATGTCTCATATTCTCAAGTAGCCATTATAAAACTGGTAGTAATATAAAAAAAAATACCCTGAGGTAGTCACATAGTCAAGTCTGACATTCTTAAATCTTGTTAAAATGAGTAGAAATCTGACCTTGTTTTTTCTCCACCCAGTCCCCCAATTAGTTTTGAGGCTCTTTCAAGTTTCTTAGCACAGAGTTCCACCTGATCTTCTAAAGCAGCCTTTTCCTCAGTTTTCTCTTTAAATGTCTTTTGTAAATTTTCCAAATGGTGTTCTACTTCTGCCAGTTCTGCTCTCTTCTGATTCAAAAGTCCCATTGTCTCAGCTAAGGATTTCTGAGCTTCTGCTAAGCGAGCTTTTTTAGGCGCCACGACCTATTTGGAAACAATATATATAGATGTGAACTATGTAAAAATTTAAATAATTCCTTTTTAGGTATTATGAATACAAATGTATTAAGATAATAAATTACATAAAAGTAAAAAAGTATGTATATAGTTCACAAAACATATAAATCATCTGGACTAGTAAAATGTCACCTACAAAATAAATTATTTCGGATTGACAAAGTAAGAAACTGCTGGTTGCATGACAAACAGAGAAAATTTATAATAGAAATAAGAAGTATTTAAGGGGTTGGGGTGTGGCTCAGTGGAAGCACATGTGTGAGGCACTGGGTTCAATTCTCAGCACCACATATAAATAAATTAATAAAATAAAGGTCTGTCAACACTAAACAATATTTTAAAAAAAGAAAAAAGAAGTATTTAAAATACATGAATGTGTTTTTGGTTTTGGTGTTTTTTATTTAATTTCCAAATCTGTGATTTTCCTCCTAGTCACCCCAAGGTACACATATACATGGTGTGATAAGAACTGTGAAAATGAAATACAAAGGAGAGAGCTCCTTGGTATTCAGTTTCACAAAATTAATTTTTCCTTCACAAATATTGAAAAGCCACTTTGTTGAGAAAAGAGAGATCTTCTAAAGTTGTTATTTTGTTGTACTTATTAGCATGTCAAGAATGAGGTTTGGCCAACTTGATCACTAGTACAAAAAATTCAGAAGATGATCAGAGAGTCTGTGCCAGTTAGAAAAAAGGTCCTCCTGACAGTTCTGGTTCATCAACATGAATGAAGAAGACAAAGAGGGAAGTGAAAGCATGGTTATCAGCTACCAATATCCTGCTTTCTCTCCTCTGAAATCCTGAAGGAAGAGCATACTGAAAAAGCAAACAGAGGACGGAAGCTCCCTTTCCTAGTTTGGATTTCAGAGGGGACATTGTTAGTTATCTCCCTTCCATCCTCTTGCCTCAACATGGGGCAGCTGCATCAGAATAAAAATGGCAGTGTGGATGTATAGAGTGGGAAGACAGGACAGAGCTTGAATACTTTGGTTTCTCTGCTTTGTAGAAAGGATCCAAAAGAATCCATATGCCCTGTGGGACAGTGGAAATTAGCCAAATTGAGAGGTTATCAGCCTTCCATGAGATTACTATGTGGATAGACTAGATGTTCAAGGGAAGGACATCCCAGACGAAATTAGTTTTATTTACATTAAAGCCCCTATCTCTATACAAGCAAATGTTATATTCATTAAGGAATATCTCAAATTGTTGTAGTCTGATCACTCGTTCTGTTCTCTGAATTTATTCTAAATACATGCTACTACGTATTTTCATCTACATTTTAACTTTCATTTCCTGCTTCCCTGGGTATAATTATGCCTTTTAGGGGGTAAAGTTTGTGTTTCTCTGGTCCTTTACTAGACATACTTACAAAATGCTCTTAACAATTCTCCGCTCTCCCATGAACTTGATCCCAATGTGTACTTTATAAAAGGTTCCTGATCAGTGACTGCCATGGCTTCAGGGGATCGTTCCATAATCTCTGTTAATGGTTACCTACTAGATCTTCTTCTGATCTTTTCAGTCAACTTAAAAAATTACTTTATTGTGATATAATTCACATATCACACAATTTGCCCATTTAAAGTGTATAATTCAATGGTTTTTAACATATTCACGGAATTGTGCAACAATCATCACAATTCTAGTACCTTTTCACTACCCAAAACATAAACTCCATAACCATTATTCCCACTTCAACCCTTCCCCATCATCCTTTCCCCTAATCTTTTGTCCCCAGGCAATCACTTAGCTACTTTCTGTCTCAGAATATTTCCATATTCTGAACACTTTATTCCTCCTTTCTAACTATAATTACAATATCCTTTGACCAAGATCTCTCCATCCCCTCTCCCTTCTAATCACCCAAGCCTCTAGTAACTACTTTATAATATCTAAAGAAAATGAATTCAGTATATTAAAAAGATATATGCACTCCCACTAAGACATAATCAACGTAAGTGTCCATCAATAGATAGTTGGAGTTGTGGTACCTATGCACAATGGAATATTATTCATCCATAAAAGGAATGAAATCTTCTCATTTCCAACAACACAGGTGAACTAGGAGGATGTTATATTAAGTGAAATAAGCCAGCCACAGAAAGATAAATTCCACATGATCTCACTTAAATGTAGAATCAAAAAAGCTGAATCAAATTTTTAATCTGCTGCTTTGCTCTCAATGTTTTGAAATTTTCTTTTTCAGTTCTCCCCTCATCAAACCCAAATTCCCCTTTGTCTCAGGGCCTTAGGTTAGTCTGGATAATTCCACTGCTCATCCATGCTCCCACAGCACTACTACAGTACCAGGTCCAACCAGGAATAGTCTCTGTATCTTCTAGGTATACAATCAACATCTGATGATTATGCTGTAACAGGACAAATTCTCTCTGGAATTGCTTTGAAAAACTCTTTAACTAGTAAATATATGCATAGGCTTTAGTTTCTGAGAATATTTTAGCAGAAAATAGATATGAAAATGCTCAAAATACCTTTGCAACTCTGTCATACACTTCCATAGCCATGATCCACTTACACAGACCCTCTGCTGCAGAAGAAGCTTTAGCAATCTTAGCAGGGTCAAATTCGGGGTTTGTCAAATATTCACCACGGATCTTCGGCATAACAGTCACCTATACAATAAAGATTTAGATTTTAAAATTTCAACATGTATCACAGTCATAAGATGAAGAAAGCATATGTAATAAAAACATTTGAATAAAGAAGTAATATGTTGTATTTAAAAGCCAAAATCAATATTTTGAGATAATTTAAAAACAAGCATAACTATAGTAGAAACACAAGTAATATTTATGTGAAAATATGCAAATTTATTATAGATACTAAAGCAAGATTTTTTTTTCAAGAATATTAAAAGACTCTTGTGGGTTGATGGAAAAATGAAAACAAAGTAAAAGAACAATTAAACATTAATGAAATAACAATGTGAATGGAAAAGATAATACTTTATCTTAAATAAATACATGTATAGTTTCCTAATAAACTATTTGTTGTATGAAGACATTTAGAGAACTCTTTCAAGTCAATAATACAATAAACCAGTAATATATTAAATAACTTTCCAATCATCTGAAAATGATGTTTTATGCATTATGACAACTCATAATACAATCATTAGTAAATGTAATGTCCTTTTATTAATTACCTTAATCCTAAAAAAGGACTTTCTCCTTATGTTTTATAAAGCATTCTATAATTTTAAAGATCTTATACATCTTGGCAAAGTCACATCTAGAGAAAAAAAAATACAATATAACTCACTGGGATGTTGTCCTTGTCATATTCTCTCAAATCTCTTAAGAAATTCATATCTCCCAGAAGTTTTTTGCTAGGTCCCCAGTAATCAAATATCTAAAAATAAAATTTATAGAACTTACTAAATGTGCAATTAAAAATACTCAATATGAACGGTTGCCCTGCTGGCCCCACCCACCACACGGAGCAATGACCATGCTTCAACTCCCCATCTACCAACATGTGGCTCCTTGGGCCTGCCTTTGTCTTGGTAAACTGCAGCCACCACCATACCAAACCCCTTACATGGTAGCCTCCACCTTGGGACAATGGACAGGGTCCAGAGGCAGCAACCCACTGAAGCACTGCATGCCATAGTGCTACATCTCTTAACAGACCACTCGATGCCACCCCATGGCCCACCCTCATAGCCCCATCTCTGAAAGCAGTTGCCTCCATCTTGGGACACCTCCTCCATCATCTTGGGTTTTGCCGCTGCAAGTGCTGCCACCACTGCTATCTTTACTTGATGTTCCATTTTGGGACATCAGCTGGGGCCTGGAAGGTCAACATCAAGGTACCTAGAGGTTTCACACTGCTGCTACCACCAACCAGAGATGTGGCTGCTTCCATCTAGGAATAACAGCCAGGACCTGGAAGACCATCATCAAGGTCCCTGCAGGCTTGGTTACACTAGAGGTATCCCTGCTAGGTATGCAAATAGCCACCAACTTGTTGCAGAAGCAGGAGAGCCTTGCACGGGGTCAGTAGGTAGGAAGACTGCGAGAGGGCATTTTGATCCCATCTCACCCACCCAACCAGCCTGGTGCCCACCAGTCTCCCAGGGCCAACTTGGGGGGCACTTGCTGGGACTCAACACCAGCCTGGTCCTCTACTCCCTCCCAATCCAACATCCACCAATCAACTGATCTCATCAGTTTGGCAATCACAGGGCCCTCTGGTTCCTCAAACCCCCCAGCCACCACCCCAGCCTAGTGCTTGTAGCTACATGGCTGGCCTGTAGATGTCAACACCTGGTCCTGATCTACCTGATACAGAACAGCTTTCCACGACAGGTATATGGGTCCCAGCACTCAGCCCCCAGAATCTCTGGAGAGAGAGGCTCCTGATTGGGAAGTTGAAAGGGTAAGGGTAGGATAGTTACAATTTAGAGACTAAATTAGAGACTAGGAACTTGTGGGGTCCACAAGCATTATAAGAGGCTAAGATCAGGCTCCTGCATTACACCAGTGGACCCCAAAGGAGATTCCTGAGGTGCAGTCTTCTAGTGGGACTGACAATTACTATACCCCACCGCCTCCAGGAGTTCTGCCTCCCACCTTAGTAACCCTCACCACCCTGAGGGTGGAGTTATCAGCAAACTCCAGAAAACCCCACCTATTGGATAAGAAGAAACACAGAGAAGATATTGAACTCCAACAGAAACAATGTTCAATTTTCCTTTGAGATTTTTTTCTTTCCTTTTTCTTTTTTGGTTCCCTGCTCTCATGTTCTCCACATTTTTGAAACCAAGTACTTTTCTTGTATCAGGTTACTAAGGACTGGGATGTTTGAACAGTATATTACAGTTTTTTTTGTATATGCTTTATTTTAATATTTATTTCTTTTTCTTTTCTTATTTTTTTTACTCTATTTTCCTCTCACTTATCTGTTTCCCCAGAGTCTCTCTCTTTTCTCCTACTAACAGCCAACTTTGTTTGATGCCTTTCACTCTTCCTACGCTCTAATACCTCTATATTCTCACCTCCTACCTCATAGACATCACATCCTACACCTCCTCCCAGTTCTCTCTTTACCATTAGAAACTGAAGACCCTTTTGCAATTCTACTATTTGTATTGTAGATAATAATCGTATATATCATTTCTGTTCATTGCGACAAAACTGGAATCATCTAAATAGGAGCTGTTTGGTTTAAGGCTGCATATTGTTTGCATTGGGTGTTAATATTAATCTCCCTATTAAAGGTGAGGTATTGGAAACCTGCAAGGACACTATAAGTTTATAGGATAGAAACTATAATACTTTGGATTCACAGTGCTAGAGGGAAGACACATGAACAACATGAAACAACAAGGGAAGAAAGTGCTCCAAACAAACCAAGATGCTATGATAATAGAATCCATTGACAGCACAGTAGAAGAAATGTCAGAAAAGGAGTTCAGAGTGTACACAGTTAAAATGATCTGCTAAGAGGAGCTGGGGTTGTGGCTCAGCAGTAGAGTGCTTACCTAGCATGTTCAAGGTCTTGGGTTCAATCCTTAGCACCATATAAAAGTAAACAAAGTAAACTATTGTGTCCATCTAAAAAATAAATATTAAAAATAAAATGATCGGCTAAGTAAAGAATGATTTAAGAGAGCAAATCAGCAACAATTATCACTTCAATAAAGAGATAAAAAAGTAAATGCAGGTAGCAAAAGATTACTTCAAGAAAGAGAGATTGTGGAGAAAAAAACCCAAAACCAGAAATCCTTGAAATGAAGGAAACAATAAAACCAATTAAAAAACTCAATAAAAAGTATCACCAACAGACTAGAACCTTAGGCAAAAAAGACAAAATATATAATCTTGAAAATAAAGTTGACCACACAGTGAAGATACTAAGAAACCTCCAAAAATTACAAGATAACATGAAAAGACCAAATTTAAGATTTATTGGGATACAGGAAGGCACAGAGATACAATCCAAGGGAATGTATAATCTTTTCAATGAAATAATATCAAAAAATTTCCCAAACCTGAAGAATGAATTGGCTTACAGGACACCAAGTATACAAAATTACAACAAATCCATACCAAGGCACATTATAATGAAAATGCCTAGCATGCAGAATAAGGATAGAACTTAAAAAGTCACAAGATAAAAGTTTCAGATTACACATAAGGGGAAACCAATTCAGATCTCAGCAGATTTCTCAACCCAGACCCTCAAAGTTAGGAGGTCTGGAACAACAAGCTCTTAAAGAAAATGGATGCCAACCAAGAATCTTATATCCAGCAAAATTAAGCCTCAGATTTGACTGTGAAATAAAAATCTCTGTGATAAACAAAAGCTAAAAGAATTTACAATGAGAAAGCCTGCACTATAAAACATTCTCAGCAGAATATTCCATGAGGAGAAAATGAATAACAACAATGAAAATCAGCAAAGGGAGGAACTACAGTAAAGAAAAAGCCAGTCAAAGGAGAAACTAAGTCAAGTTAAAAATCAAAAATAAATCCAAATGACCAGAAATACAAATCATATTTCAATAATAACCCTGAATGTTAATGGCCTAACTAAACTCATCAATACAGACATAGACTGGCAGATTGGATTTTTAAAAAAGACCCAACAATATGCTGTCTTTAAGAGATTGATCTCATAGGAAAAAGACATCCGCAGACTGAAGGTAAAAGGATGGGAAAAAGCATATCACTCACATGGACTGTGTAAACAAGCAGGGGTTTCTACGCTCATATCAGATAAAGTGGACTTCAAAGAAGAATTAATACCAATACTCCTCGAATTATTCCATGAAATAGAAAAGGAGGGAACCCTTCCAAACTCATTCTATGAGATTAGTATCACCCTGATACCAAAACCAGACAAAGATACATCAGGGGAAAAAAAACTTCAGACCAATATCCTCAATGAACATAAATGCAAAAATTCTCAATAAAATTCTGGCAAATCCCATACAAAAATATTTAAAAGATGATCAAGTGGGTTTCATCCCAGGAATGCAAGGTTGGTTCAAAATACAGAAATCAATAAATGAAATCCATCACATCAATAGATTTAAAGATAGGAATCATATGTAGAAAAAACGTTTGACAAAATACAGCACCCTTTCATGTTCAAAACACTAGAAAAACTAGGGATAGTAGGAATATACCTTAATATTGTAAAAGCTACCTATGCCAAGCCCAAGGCCAACATCATTCTAAATGGAGAAAAATTGAAAGCATTCCTTCTAAAAACTGGAACAAGACAGGGATGCCCTTTTTCCATCATTTCTATTCAACATAGTCCTTGAAACTCTACCAGAACAATTAGATGAAAGAAAATAAAGGGATACGAATAGGAAAAGAAGAACTCAAACTATCACTATTTGCTGACAACATGATTCTAATTTCAAAGATCCAAAAAAATTCCACAAGAACTTCTATAATTAATAAATGAATTCAGCAAAGTAGCAGGATATAAAATCAATACCCATAAATTAAATGCATTTTTATACATCAATGACAAATCCTCTGAAAGAGAAATTAGGAAAACTACCCCATTCACAATAGTCTCAAAAAGAATTCGGAACCAATCTAACAAAAGAAGCAAAATACCTCTACAATGAGAACTACAAAACACTAAAGAAAGAAACTGAAGAACACCTTAGAAGATGGAAAGATCCCCCATGTTCTTGGACAGGCAGAATTAACATTGTTAAAATGGCCATAGTACCAAAAACTTTCTACAGATTTAATGCAATTCTAATTAAAATCCCAATGACATTCCTCATAGAAATAGAAGAAGCAATCATGAAATTCATTTGGAAAAATAAGAGACCCAGAATAGCCAAAGCAATTGTTAGCAAGAAAAGCAAAGCAGGAGGTATCATAATACCAGAACTTAAACTACACTACAGAGCTATAGTAACAAAAATGGCATGTTATTGGCACAAAAACAGACACATAGACCAGTGGTACAAAAGACAGAGAAAAAACCCCACATAATTACAGTTATCTCATACTAGACAAAGGTGCCAAAAACATACATTGGAGAAAAGATAGCCTCTTCAACAAATAGTGCTAGGAAAACTGGAAATCCATATACAGCAAAATGAAATTAAACCCCTCTCTCTCACCATGTACAAAACTCAACTCAAGGTGGATCAAGGACCTAAGAATTAGACCAGAGACCCTGCACCTAACAGAAGAAAAAGCAGGCCCAAATCTTCATCATGTCAGATTAGGATCTGACTTACTTAACCATATTCCCAAAGCACAAGAAATAAAACCAAGAATCAATAAATAGAATGGATTCAAACTAAAAAGCTTCTTTGCAAAGGAAACAATCAATAATGTGACGAGGGAGGCTACAGAATTGGAGAAAAATCTTTACCACACACACATAAGATAGAATACTCATCTCTAGGATATATAAAGAATTCAAAAAACTTATCAACAACTACAACAACAAAACCCCAATCGATAAATAGGCTAAGGAACTGAACAGATATGTCTCAGAAGATGTACAACTGATCAACAAGTATATTAAAAAATGTTCAACATCACTTATAATTAGAGAAATACAAATCAAAACTAAGATTTTATCTCATTCTAGTCAGAATGGCAATTATCAAGAATACAGGCAACAATAAGTGTTGGTTAGAATGTGGGGGAAAAGGTATACTCATACAATGCTGGTGGGACTGCAAATTGGTGCAACCACTATGGAAAGCAGTATGGAGATTCCTTAGAAAACTTGGATTGGAACCACCATTTGACCCAGCTATCCCACTCCTCAGTCTATATCCAAAGGACTTAAAATCAGCATACTATAGTGACATGGCCACATCAATGTTTATAGCAGCTCAATTCACAATAGCTAAACTGTGGAACCAACCTAGATGCTCTTCAACAGATTCATGGATAAAGAAACTGTGTATATATACACAATGGAATATTACTCAGTAATAAAAGAGAAAAAAATTCTGGCATTTGCAGGTAAATGGATGGAGTTGGGGGATATGTTAAGTAAGCCAATCCTTCCCCCCAAATAAAAATCAAATGTTTTCTCTGATATGTGGATGCTGATCTGTAATGCGGAGGGCAAGGTAAGAATGGAGGAACTTTGGATTGAGCAGAGGGGAGTAAGGGGAGTAGAGGTGGCATGGGGGTTGGAAAGATGGTGGAATGAGATGGACATCATACCCTAGGTATATGAATATTTGCATGAATGGTGTGACTCCACGTCATGTACAACCAGAGAAATGAAAAGTTGTGCTCCATTTGTGTACAATGAATCAAAATACATTCTGATGTCATGTATAACTAATTAAAACAAAAATAAATAAAATAAATGTTAAATATAAAATTTTTCTTTTTAAAGTTTAAGACATATTATCCAGGGCTGGGGATGTGGCTCAAGCGGTAGCGCGCTCGCCTGGCATGCGTGCGGCCCGGGTTCGATCCTCAGCACCACATACAAACAAAAATGCTGTGTCCGCCGAAAACTAAAAAATAAATATTAAAATTCTCTCTCTCTCTCCTCTCTCTCTCTCTCTCTCTTTCTATCTATCTTTTAAAAAAGGACATATTATCCAGAAAAGCTGTTCATATGCTTTCAAAACATCAACTTACATCTCTCCTTGGAAACTAAGATTCCTCTCTGAGAACATATTACATAAATGAAATATTTTAACTATGGAGATGAAATTATAAATTTTTGTCAAAAAATTAAATACTGAAAAGAGAATGTGTAGTCATTTCTTTTGAAAACCTAAAGCTAACATAGACATCAACTTCATATAAGAAAGTACATTTTTATCACTTTTATTTTTATGTGGTGCTGAAGATTGAACCCAGTGCCTCACGCTTGTGAGGCAAGCACTCTACCATTGAGCTACAAACCCAGCCCTTGTTTGTATTTTTTTTAGAGACTGGGTCTTACTGTGTTGCTCAGGACCTTGCTAAGTTGCTGAGGCTAGCTTTGAACTTGCAATCCTCCTGCCTCAGCCTCCCGAGCTGCTGGGATTACAGGTGTGCACCACTGCACCTGGCTCATGCATTTTTCTTAAAGGCAATCTCCTTACCTATCTAGGCTCTCCAAATGAAATAAAAAGAAGAGAAAATGGAAAGCCAAAAATTATATACATTGCTCTATCTGTAACAGGGTAAAGCCACATACTAATTAAAGATGTTGAATAACTAGCTCACCATTCTTTTTCTACTATCAGAAGCCTGACTGGAACTGGGGGTGCATGTACATGGGAATAACTTGACAAGAGCCTATTTATTTTCTTTATTATTTCAATGAAGGATAGAATGTCGAGGAGGAGGAGGGGGAGGAGGAGGAGGAGAAGAAGACAAGCAAGAAAAGAAATGGAGGAAGAAAGGACAAAAGAAAAGAAAAAGATTTCAATTTAGGAATTCAAACCTAGGCATTATGAAACCCTGAAAAGAAGATCAGTCTGTAATATGGATGGATACTATGCCTGCCTTCTTAAGGAATATATCCTTGAAAAATAATTATAATAGCAGCTAACATTTATTGTAATTATTATTTATAAGGTTTTATACATAAGAACTTTATTTTTTTTAATTTTTTTAAGAACTTTATATATATTAATTACTCTAATGCTCACATTAGTACCGTGATGTCTTTTCACAGAATTCCACAGAGATTAAGCATCCTGTATAAGATTACACAGCTAGGAGGTTCAGGATTTCTCAATATAGATATTCTGGCTTCAGAACACATGCTTTTAACAACTTCACTATACTGCTTATTTAACTAAACAGTATATTTTGAATGCTCAGAAATATAACCTATATGGTATGTATCACATTCTCAAGAATCTTAGCTACAAATGTACAAGTATCTCAGTGTTCATTCAATTCTAACTCCAAGATGGCAGGGAGACCTGTATAAACAGAAAAGGAGACAGAAGCAATTGGAATCACATTTTCCAGACACTATACTCCCTAGAATACAGTGTTTCTGCAGATAATTCTCCATCTATTCAATCCAGAAAGGAATATTTCTTTCCTGGATTAAGTACTATTGATATTTAATTTGATATTGATATTACAAACAAGTCCTATATAGTCAGGAATATGATTGAATCTGGGCCCAGTTATTACCTTCCCTCCAGTTCCTGAAGGGTCTGAAATTTTTTCTGGTTTTATATCTTTCATGACACAAATAGCAGCCATAACTAGTTTAACACCAGATGGAGGACTCTTCATTGATTTCACAATTGTAACATCAGATGGCTAAACCAAAAGAAAACAAGACATCTTCAGAATAGTTTATTTTCAAATAAGGAGAGTTTTTAAAGTAATTTTGGGGAATAATGAAGTATACCCTTTCATTCAAAATTGTGATTTTTTATTTTGCTTTGTATGGTTATGAAATAATTACCAAAACAGTATTTATCACAGGTAAAGACTAATGTTCTCTAATGTTTGGGGGTTCATAGATTCTTATGAGGATGACAGCTCTGAACCTTGCAGAAAATGTATTTTTACCCATGTACAATCACATACCCAAGCCCCCATTATCTAAAACTCAGGTTAAGAACCCTGATTTAGACAAAGATTTATTTCTGTATTTGCCCATATACATTAGTTTTATTGACAAAATAATGAAATAGGTCCTACTTCTAAACTTAATTTCTAAAAAGGCATTTATTGTTATGACAGACACTAGAGATTCACTTATTTATTACCCATTCCCACACATAAATATCCTTCTGACATTTCTTGCAATGATACAAATGCTGGAAAATTAACATCTACATATCTTTCTTTCACATGCAACTAGAGCTCTGGGTGAGAATTATTTCCCACAATCAGATAACTTGAGTGAAAACAGAATTCAGACAATAAATGGGGAAAGTGATAGTGTGAAGTATCCATTTTCTTGGTATGGATCATAGTGGAGGCAGTGTAGCTTGTAGAAAGGCTCTGTTGGCTACCTTTTCAGAGGAACAGTTAATCTAGTAAACAATATCAACAATTTGGCTTTGTGAGATATTTCTAGTGGCTTAATATAGGATCTATTTCTATAGCTCTTCCAACAATTCTGCAATCCATTTATAAAATTCCCTTTAAAAATCCTTATCTACTTGTACTAAATAGAGTCAACTCTGTTCCCTGCAACTGAATTCTAAATTATATAATATGGTATTGCATACAAGAAAGGGTACAAGCAACACGCTCATAAGCAAAGAGGAGCCTAGGATTAATGAACTGAACTGGTGGGGTTTGGAGGCATCAAGAATCCTGTATCAGAAGAGGGAGTGCTAAAAGTTCATGGAACATAGTAATAAAACTGTTCCTTAAATTAATGGTCTTGGATGTCTAGAAAGGAGTGCCCATAAAAAACAAGGCTTTGGGGCTGGGGATGTGGCTCAAGTGGTAACGCGCTTGCCTGGCATGTGCGGGGTGCTGGGTTTGATCCTCAGCACCACATACAAATAAAATAAATTTTTTGTCCACTGAAAACTAAAAAATAAATATTAAAAAAATTCTCTCTCTCTTTAAAAAACAAACAAACAAGCCTTTGTCAAACTAAGTGGTTGCTGTGATAAATCTCTAAGAAAGGAATGAAGAAAGACTATAGAGTGCACATGGCTTTTAAATGTACTAGAGAGCATAAAGAAAGAAAATAACCAACTCATTTTTAAATTCCTGGTTCATGACACAAAACAGTAGGAAGTTTCTATAAATACTCTAAGATAATCTCATTTTAAAACTACTAAAAAACCGATGTAACTTCAAGACATAGCTTAATCCTTTGAGATACTGAATTACCCATAGGCTGAGTTCAGTCTTTCAGGTCTATTACATAAAAGTTAGGGCACTGATTAGGAAAGAAGGTGCAAAAAAAAAGGGGGGTGGTTGTCTGAATATCCTGAGCTCCCATGTTACACTGGGCTTCTCTAGTCAACAGATGCTCTCTCTCCTGTTCTCTTTGGTGAGGTTATTCTGGTCTTGCTTAAAGAGCCTGTCAAAACGCCTATATAACACATTGTGGTACAGACAGGTGCATCGGAAATAACTTTTGAGTTTTTCTGTGCATATATGTAGAGAAGACTAAAGAAATAACAACACAATCTTTTTCTTTTTTCTTTTTCGGTGTTAGAAATTGAATTCAGGACCTTGTGTAACCACTCTTTTTAACATGTACTTCCTGGTCCCTGTACAGAATCACATTTGCCTCTCAGAGACTGTTCATCCTATTCTCAATGGAATATCCTGATTGAAAATTAGAAATAATATATGAAAAGCAAACATATAACAATATATCAAAGAAATGTCAAGAGACAAGTTTCATTTGACTGAGCAAAAACAATACCACCTAAAGAAAGAGAACTATGTGTAACTAACCAAAGACCTGTATAGTTTCACTTTGTTGAGGAAACACAAAGTGACTAATTCAAATACTTGCTTTAAGTGTATCCAGTGCAGACAGAGCTGCTTCCAAGGCTGGAATTGCCTCAGCTAGATCACTTTCACACTCATTTTTTAGAGCTTGGGCTTCTTCAGCCTTTCCACTGGCTATCTCTTCATCTAATTTCACAAACTTTTTTTTTGCTTCCACTTCTGCAGATTCTATTTCAATTATCTAAAGAAAAAAAAAAATAAAGACAATTCTGCAAGCATCCAATTGCTCTCTCAATCTAGAGGCAAAAGAATATGTAAAAAAATAAGTCATCCAACATATTATTTTGAAGGCTAGAAAGGTCTAGGGTAAAATGAGAAATGCAAATATATGTGAGCTATTTTGGAAATGGGCTTCACACCTCTTCAAAAACAAATTGGGCTGGGTTGTAGCTCAGTGGTAGAGCGCTTGCCTAGCATGTATGAGGCACTGAGTTTGATCCTCAACACCACATAAAAATAAATAAATAAAAATAAAGGTATTGTAAAAATCTACAATAATAATAATTTTTTTAAAAAATGAACTCACACGGGACCCGGTGAGACAGAAAAGGGTTAAGTCCCTAGGATCTAGTGATAAAAGTGGGGGGAGAGGGCTTATCTTCATGACAAATTTAACATATTTCAATTGTCCTTTGATGGCAACAAAAACATTCAGGATACTCTACCTGCATCATACGTGCATTTTCAATTTTAGCTTCCTCCAACTTGGGCTGTAACTGAACAAGCTCTATTTGCATTTCACCAACCTAAATAGACAGTTTGTCATTAAGTTTCCATTGCTATCATAGCTACTAAAATCAAACATAGAAAATACAAATTTGAACATATCATAAAGTATTGGGGCAGAAAATCTTAATGTTTTTACAGTTCTTTGTATGATAAACAAAATGATGAGAATGTAGCCAGTTTTTCTCACAAAAATATTTTCTTGGGCTGGGGTTGTGCCTCAACAGTAGCGCACTTGCCTGGCATGTGTGAGGCACTGGGTTCGATTCTCAGCACTGCATATAAATAAATAAAAGTCTATCAACAACTAAAAAAAATTTTTTCTCATTCTTGAGTATATGACAGGCTAGTGGGAGAATGCAGTTACCATGGAAGAAATGCAGACAGAAAACAAGTGGGTAGCTCAGGTATCCATATTATACCATTATTATGGTATACAGTGCAAAGATGAACCAACAAAAATCTCTATTACTTATACTAAACTAATAAGTATTACCAGTACTTGATTTTTAAAAAACCCAAATCTTATAATTAATAAAAAGTCAACACAGACTTTTTATATTTTCTCAAATGCCAAAAAGTTAACTAAAAATAAAACAGTGTGGTCTGGGCAATTTAATGAATGTTTCTTAATGTAACTCTATCTGTAAAATGACAATCATAATACTGATGATCTTATGGAGTTGTTATGAGGAATAATTGAAAGAATGCACGTGAAAAGCATGCATATAACAAATTCCCAATCAATTGTAGCTCTTGTTATTATTTCTTGTATTTCTCAGTATATATTACCATTTTGAGCAGCTCATCAAATTTACCTGAGACTCAGCAAAAGCTAATTTGTCAAGACCATTTACATATCGTTGTTTTGCTTCCATGACAGCTTGTCGCTTCTTAGTCAAAAGCTGTCGAAATGAACCAATAAGTTCAAGATAAGAAGTAGCAGTAACATAGTTATGTCTTCCTAACTCATGCAAGAACCTAAAAGAGAGACAGGTAACATATATTCCTGTAAGTAATAAGTTTCATAAAGAGGTAAATTCAACAGAGTCTTAACAACGAACATTTAAGAATGAAAGTCAAATTTTATGTGGAAGTGCTAAGTACTTGAACTTTATAAGACTCCAGAATTCTGCACATAACCATATCCTAATTTCTTATCTGCAAAATATTAAATAGAATGACATATTTTAAAAACATAAACCAGTGAAGATGTCTGCAAAAAGTGAATTATTGTACAAACAATACAGACTTTTTTCCTCCCTAAAATTTTATTCACTGGGATCTAAACCTGTAAGTGACCCAAGATATTGTGAGAGGAAGGCAAGTAGAATTGGAAAGAGAAAATTTCCAACAAATTTCCAAGCATCATTCCATGGCACAAGTATGTTATACAATGCTTGAATGGTATAAATCCAAAATTATAAGACTACCACACAATGATATTTAATGGTAAGTAAATGAACTATAGCACACTACAGCCACTGTCTAAGCCAACTGTGCTGGCTATTTGATTCTGGACAGGCAATATAACATGGGTACTTAGGGTTACTCATCCTTGAGATGAGTACGTCAGATGAACAGAGTTAGAAAGGACATTCTAGAAGTATCTATACCCCAACTAGCCCCCTCTTTCTAAGAACTTCTACCTGGTGCCTGGGCAACAATGTTTGATCTACAAAATCTGCTCCTCTAACCACAGCTGATCAGGCCAGGGTTGAGCACTGGACACAAACAAGACTAATCATTTATTTAGAATAAATTTGGAATAAGGAGCTAGAAATGACCTTCTAGTCTCTCTTTATAAATGTAACTGCAAGAAGTAAACTGGAGAGCTGAGAGGTAGCCAGCTTCTTCCAAATGTACTGGGAAGTACACCGGGCAGTCTACAAAAAGAGACAAGAAAGCAGATGCCCAGAGAGAAGCAGTGATGAGAAACAGGAAAACAGGGCTGGGGTTGTGGCTCAGTGGTAGAGTGCTTGCCTAGCATGTGCCAGACGCTGGGTTCGATCCTCAACCCACATTAAAAATAAATAAATAAAATAAAGGTATTGTGCCCAACTACAACTAAAAAAATTATTAAAAAAAAAAGAAACAGGAAAACAAAACAACAACAAAAGAAAAAAATAAATAAAGTAGGTAAATAAAAGAAAAAGAAAAACGAAACATTCTAGGGTCCTGATTTTTTTTTTAAAGTTTTTTTTTTTTTAGTTATACATAGACACAATATCATTATTTTAATTTTTTATGTGGTGCTGAAGATCGAACCCAGTGCCTCATAAGTACTAGGCAAGCGCTCTGTTACTGAGTCACAACCCCAGCCCCCTCCCCACCCATGGCTTTCTAACACCTGCTTTTCCAATTACTTTTTTTTTTGATACCAGGGATTTAACCCAGGGGCACTTAACCACTGAGCAACATCCCTAGCTCTTTTAATGTTTTATTTAGAGACAGGGTGTCCCTAAGTTGCTCAGGACCTTGCTAAATTGCTGAGGCTGGCTTTGAACTCATAATTCTTCTGCCTTAGCCTCCTGAGCCACTGGGATTACAGGCATGCACCACTGCACCAGGCTTTTCCAATTACTTCTAAGATCCAGCTGTATACTTCCCCTTAAGCTTTGTGAAACACCCCTGGATCTTTATAATAAAATTCCCCCTTTTATTAAAGCTAGACCAAGTAGTTTTCTATTATTTGCAGGCTGAAGGTTTTAACTAATTAAATGATCAGAAAGAACGAAAAGAAATAAAAAATATATTAAAAATTTGGACTTTAGCAGAAAGAAATGCTTTAAACTATAAGGCATTCATGTCATTTTAAAATTTATTACTATTGACCTCTCCGAAAGGTCCATAATGGAGGTGTGAAAGTGTTTACAGACTGGAACTATCTCTCTTCGTTCGACTTCAGTAAGCTCCAGTGTTTCTAAGAATTTCACAGCTACAAGTTCGAGAGCATCTTCAGGCCATGGCTAAAAATGGGGGGGAAAGTTATGAAATTAAAGGTGAGCAGTCCCAATCCAACTATATAAGTGAATTCCTATAGAAAAAGAATTTGGGATAGAGAAAATTAAAGCGTTAATGAGAAAAATAGAATAAGGAGGACTGAGTTCACAATATTTATTAGGTTTATAAAAGATTTAATAAGTATTTTTATGAATTAATTTAAAAATAAAGATAACAATATAAATGAAGAATCAATGATATTTTAAATATTAAAGACATATTACACTGCTTTTCCAACTCTTCTACTTGAATGCATGCCAGTGGCAGAAAATTCTAGTTGTCCACCCAGCATCATCTTCTTAGGACTCCAATTTTATTCTGGATAGCAATATGTCCAGCTAAAAGACAACCATTGCTAGATTCCCTTGTAATTCAGAAGAGCATAAGCAGTTGTTGGGTAGGACGTCAGAGAAAGGTCTTTAGAGGGTTACAGAGTTGGTCTGCATACTTTTTGTCCCATTTTTATTCTTCTATACTTGTTGTCTGGACTACAGTTATGAAAACTCGAGGTCTACCAATCATCTTACAGACTATAAATTGACCTTGAGAATGGAAATCACATGTTAAAGATAATAAAGCAGAAAGAACATGGGATAGTGATGCTTTATTTAAAAAGCCACAAAAACACCAACCACTTTGCTTACCTTCAGCTGTTTTGTTTTTGTTTTTTGGTGGTGGGAATCAAACACAGGGCTTTACACATGCTAAACATGTGCTAGCAAGGAGTGACATCCACAGCCCCCAGAGCATTCTTTTTAAAACAGCATTCCTTCTGTTATTACTCTGAACATTATAATCAGTTTTATTCTTAGTACTTACAAATACTTTGCATATCATTTATTCATCTGTTGTTGGTCTACCCCTCAGCCCTGAACTAAATTGTAAAATTCATGAAAGCAAGGACTTTTTCTCAGTGCTATACCTTCAGTCCCTAAAAGAACACTTTGCAACAAATATTTAATTAAATGTTAATGAGTAACTTTCATTTTCTCATTAGAATATTTTTCAGATTTCCTTTAATTTAGATTCAATAAAAGACTTGTAATTTTTTTCTTTTAGAAAAAACAATATTTACTTTAAGACTTTTTTTTTTTTTTTTGCAGTGCTGGGGATTGAACCCAGGGCCTCAAGCATGAGGGAACATGTTCTGCTACTGAGCTACATCCCCAGTCCCAAATTCAAACTTTTTTTTTAAAGATTTTTTTAAAGATGGACACAATATCTTTATTTATTTTTATGTGGTGCTGAGGATCGAACCCAGTGCCTCACATGTACGAGGCAAGAGCTCTACCACTAAGCTATAACACCAGCTCCCCAAATTCAATCTTTTTGATGAAGCAACCTATTAGTAAAAAAGTTTTAAGCACATATTGCCATTATATACTTTGGGGAGGGGGTTGGGGGGACCAGGGATTGAACTCAGGGATACTCTGTCACTTAGCCACATCCCCAGCCCTAATTTGTACTTTATTTAGAGACAGGGTCTCATTGAGTTCTTAGGACCTCACTTTTGCTGAGGCTGGCTTTGAACTCTTGATCCTCCTGACACAGCCTTCTAAGCCACTGGGGATTACAGGCATGCACCACCACACCCACCCAGCCCCATTATATAGATTTTTATTAATAGATTACATTCATGCAACATTATTGTTCTGATACATTTTTAAACCTAAAAGAGACTTCTAGGATTTATTATATTAGGAATGAAGAAATTTTGTAAAATAAAGATTAAATGTCATATCATTAAATTCTTAGAGGCTTATCTTTGTATTCTGGGTGATTCTTTTTTTTTTTTTTCCTGGTACTAAGGATGAATCCAGGGGCACTTAACCACTGAGCCACATCCCCCGCCCTTTTTAAATATTTTATTAGAGGTAGGGTCTCATTGAGTGACTTAGGGCCTCACTAAGTTGCTGAGGCTGGCTTTGACCTCGCAATCCTCCCCCCCAACCCTGTGACTGGGTGGTTCATGTATATAATGTTGCAGTAGGAAAAGGGCCTTCAGGTCTCTCAACCTTGTTTCTTAAGGGTGCGATCCCCATAGCTACAGCAATCATTTTGTCACAATAATAAATGAAACAGAGTGCACTGAGAATGGTAGAGCAAAAAGATGGAAAGAACCTGGATCCCAGATAACATGGTTGAGCCTGTAAATTAAGTAAAACTGGAGATACTTTTGACTTCTTTCTATATGAGATGATACATCCCTTTTTGGGAAGACATAGTAATATTATTAGTTTTCCTTTAATCATAAATATTCTAACTTCTGAGCTGGGGCTCAGTGGCAGAGTACTTTCCTAGCATGTGAGAGGCACTGGGGTTTGTTCCTTAGCACCACATATAAAAAATAAACAAAGTAAAGGCATGCGGTCAATCTAAAACTAAAAAAAAAAAAAAATTATGGTTACAAATGATATTAAACCAGCCATAGGGTGGGAGGGTACATGACACATAGCAGTTTACACTTACTTCCTGAGTTTCACAAACCCAAGTCCCAAATAATGCCATTAGCTCCATTGACACAGGCTCTTTCTCCTCAGTTCTTTTTTTTTTTTTTTTTAGTTTTAAATGGACTTTATTTTGTTTATTTATATATAGTGGTGAGAATCAGAATCGAACCAAGTGCCTCACACATGCTAGGCAAGCACTCTAACTCTGAACCACAATCCCAGCCCTCTCCCCAGTTCTTAACTGTAAAGTCTTTATTCCTCTCTGTTGCCTATTTAATTTCCCTTATTTTCAAGACTCATTTTCTTCAGATTTTTCCCAGTAGGTATGACTCACTTATAATAGAACTGCAAATATCATGGTTATGAAAAAAAAAAAAACACCCAGAAGTTACAGAACTGTATTTATAAGGTTTTATAAAAGAAGACTATGGTTAGACAGATTATGTTTGTATGGTTTTGGATTTTGTCTACTTAATAGAAGCAATACTAAGATATAGCTTATATAAAGCAAAATTGTTTCACATAGCTTCTGTTACTGTATGAACACACTAGAACATCCACTGATAAAACATGCATGTAATCCTCAAAAGGTCAGAATTAGATTTTAAACATAAAATTCATGATAAATTAGTTCCAGAAATTAACTTTTAAAAGAAATTATCTAGGTTCAATGTATAGTCCACATTCTCTTGGGCATAAAACAAATAAGTAGAAGGTATCATGAGCTACTGTTTTCAAGATTATTGATATTTAGTGCTCCTACACAGGCGATGACAAATTAATACCATCATTTGCTGCCAACATTACTAAAATTGCTGCTTAATTGATCTTTCTGTCTCTTGTTTTGCCCAAATCCAATTCTTCTACCATACAACCTCCAAGTGTTTTGTTTCCCCTAAAATAAAGATTAGCTAAAAATATATTAATGCCATTATGACATCTTTGTTATAATTTCCTTTATAACCTGGCACCCATCCAAAACTCCAACTTAATTCCTGGGGCCTTCATTACTAGTCAGCTATACCAAACTAGGTGAAGTTGCCCAAATGAGCCATTTTTCCTCCATCCTTCTGCCTCTGCACATGCTATCCTCTCATGATTATTAGTTATATATATCAACTTGACAGGGCAATGAGGTATCCAGATATTTGTTTAAACATTATTTTAGGTGTTTCTGTCAGGATGTTTTTACATTAATTCATTTAAATTGGTAGACTAATAAAGCAGGTTGTGCTCTCTAAGGTCAGTGAGCCCCATCCAATTAGCTGAAGGCTGGAATGGAACAAATATATTGAACTTCTCTCAAATAAGAGGAAATCCTCCTTTTTATCTAACTTCAATCTGGGATATTGGTTTTATTGCTGACTTCAGACTTGAAGTAAAAGAGTAGTTCTTTCTGGTCTTAAGCCTAATGGCCTTCAGAGTGGAAATACACAACTGACTCTTCTGGGACTCCAGTTTTGCAGATTGCAGATTTTGGGATTTGTCAGCCCTGTAATCACATGAGACAATTTCTCAAATCAGTCAATCTCTCTCTCTCTCTCTCTCTCCATATACATGTATATATACAAATATATTTATAATATTTATATTCTAAAATTATACATTGCCTAATATTAGAATATACATTATATAACATAATATTAGAACATATTATATATTATTAATATAGTAGAATACATATGAACTAATATACATGTACATATGTATATGTACATATATGCATATATAAACCAATATATTAGAATAAAAACTAATTATGACCTTTTGAGGCAAAACATACACACATATATATTAACTTCAAAATGGAATTAGTTTTAAAATATAAAATTGATAATAAAGTTAAAAGTAATAAAACAAATTAATATCAGAAATTAATTTTTATTAATCATGTAATTATATATTTTATTAATCATTTGTATAATATCCTATTGGTTCCTAATATACCACTGTATGTAATTCATACTTCAGAGATTTACTGTCTTTATATGTATATCTTTTGTATCCAAACATTATGGCTTTTGAATTTTGACTGCTAATTGCTTTTCATATCTTCTAGTTAAGAATATGAGCTCCTTGTGGGAAACATGTACCTCTGCTAAGCACTATGCTTGTTATTATAGTAGTTTACCAAAAAAACCCAGAATATATATTAATTGAGCTTAAATAAGACTTAAGTAAAATTCCAAGAGTTAGCCATCCACTCTGTCACCAAAATTACAAACCTGAAACCAGTCAATGGTACAGCAATTGATGAGGGATGGGAACTGTCTCAAGCGATTTCGAAAAGCATCTCCAATAGGGCTAAAGGCCACTACAATATGAAGATTATCTTTGCAGCGATTCACAAAGAAAGCAAACAGTGCTAAAGGACTGAGTTCTTCATGTTTACTGCCAGCCTGAGCTACTGGACGAACACCCTAAAGAATATAAGAAAATAAAAACTTGTAAATAATAACAGATTTGCTGATAACAAGATTAATGTATATTAGAACAGGAAGAAGTTTTATTACTTCCAATAAATATTTTTAAATTTTTGCTTTTATGTCAACAGAATGGCTTTGGCATAATTAATACCTACAAAATCTCTTCCAACTCCAAATTCAATAATTTTAAACAAACATTTATGTTCAACATCTGTAGCAATTAGAGAAATACAAATTAAAACTCCACTGAGATTTTATTTCACTCCAACCAGAATGGCAATTATCAAGAATACAAGTACTAATAAATGGTGAGAATGTGGGGAAAAGGGTACACTCATACTGAAAATTAGTACAACCACTCTGGAAAGCAGTATGGAGATTCCTTAAAAAAATAGGAATGGGGGAGTTGGTGCTGTGGCTCACACTTGCCTAGCGTGTGTGAGACACTGGGTTTGATCTTTAGCACCACATATAAATAAATAAAAATAAAGGTACATCAACAACTAAAAAAAAATCTACGAATGGAACCACCATTAGACCTAGTTATCCCATTCATTGGTATATATCTATATCTATATCTATATCTATATATATATATATATATCTCCAAAGGAGTTAAAATCAGCATACTACAGTGACACAGCCACATCAGTGTTTATAGCAGCACAATTCACAATAGCTAAGCTATGGAACCAACCTAGGTGCCCTTCAACAGATGAATGAATACAGAAATTGTGATATACACACACAATGAAGTATTTACTCAGTCATAAAGAATGACTTTATGACATTGCTGGTAAATGGATGAATTTGGAGACTATCATGCTAAGTGAAATAAGCCAATCCCCAAAAGCCAAAGGTTAAATGTCTTCTCTGATATGTGACTGCTAATCCACAATAATGAGTTGGGGAGGGGAATAACAGAAGCTCATTGGATTAACATAGGTCAGTGAAGGGGAAAGGGAGCAGGGATAGGAATAGGAAAGAGTAGAAAATCTGACATAACTTTCCTATGTACATATACGAATACACCACAGTGAAACCATCATGTACAACCACAATACTTGGATCCTAATTAGAATATGATATATTCCATTCTTGTATAAATATATCAATATAGAGTCTAATATCACATATAACTAAAAATATTAATAAAAATAAAAACAAATATTTGCCAAGAATTTACTTCAAAAGAGGATCTCAAAAATTCACCAAGCTATAGATTAAGAACTATAATTCAACATTGTAAGAGGAAAAGAAAACCAACAGAAACAAGAAGAGTCAATAAGAAACTAGTTAAAAACATCAAACATCCATATATTGGAATTTCATACAATTTTAAAAATAAGGTGTATGCCATTTCTGGTGGGATGGAAAATTGGTGCAATCACTATGGAAAGCAGTATGGAGATTCCTTAGAAAACTTAGAATGGAACTACCATTCGACCAAGATATCCCACTCCTCCATCAATACCCAAAGGTCAATACCAAATCAGCAAACTACAGTGATGCAGCCATATTCATGTTTATAGCAGCTCAATTCACAATAGCTAAACTGTGGAACCAACCTAGATGCCCTTCAATGGATGCATGGATAAAGAAACTGTGGTATATATACACAATGTAATATTACTCTGCATTAGAAAAGAATAAAATTATGGCATTTGCAGGTAAATGGATGGAGTTGGAGAATATCATGCTAAGTGAAGTAAGCCAATCCCAAGAAACCAAAAGCCAAATATTTTCTTGGATAAGTGGATGCTGGTCCATAATTGGGGGGTGGTGGTGCATAGAAAGAATGGAGGAATTTTGTGTTAAATTAGAAAAAACACACAGATATAAGCCATACATGGTAGTGTGTACTGGTAGTTGCAGCCACTTGAGATGTCCAGGAAGGAGGAACACTTGAGCACCAGAGTTTGAACCCAGCCTAGTCAACAAAAGAAACAAAAATACAAAACAAATACTATATATATATATATATATATATATATATATATATATATATATATATATTTAAAATGCGAATATACGAGAAAGAGTGAAGGAATGGAAAGGTTTAGTTTTGAACTGATAGAAGGAAAAGACAAAACTATTAAAGTAACCAGGGGAGCTTGGCAAAGCTTAGGAAATCCCACTCTTCCAAGGTAACAACCTTTTGAGTGTAAATAAGAAGGAATTTCTCCTGTGAGAATTACCCTTCATTGGCAACCTTCTCCACATTCCTGATATCGCCCAGGTAAAAGCAAATAACTTGAATTTTTCCCTGTTATATTTTCTTCTTCTTCAACATAAGCAAGCCATAACTGCAAAGGCTTTCTAAGTGCCTAACACTATATAAATGTTTCATTTTCTTTGAGTCTCAGACTTCAACAACTCTATGCACAAGGAACTATTAGCTGTGCTCCTATTACAAAGAAGGGTGAGTTCATTCCACTCCAGATACTAATACTAGAGGCTGAGAATGAAACATCCAAGCTTGAGTGATAAATTCTGTAGATAAGAGCAGTTATACTAATGAGGAAGGGAAAAATCACTAGCAGAGATCTTAGTGGGAAAGATTGGGATCAAAGTATGTGACATCTGACAGTAGTAGATGCTTCGTAAGTGTATTTTTCATCAATTAGATCATAAACTTGACTTTCAGATATATCAGAACTATAAGATAAGTAGTTTAAGTTTTCAGAAACTTTTACTAACCAGAGTTAAGCCATAAAGCTAATAGAATAGCATTAAAATCATGTTTACTTCTATCAATTTAAGAGATGATTTTAAACTCTCTAATCATTTATAACACATGCTAAAATAATATCAAACAGGTAAAAAAATTCCATTATTATGAAGATAAGAATTATAAAAATTCTACCTTGTAACCATGGTAGATGCATTCAAAATTCACCAAAATGATGTATTAAATTAATATACTTTAAATTTTTAATTGAGCAAACTATATTTATGCTGAATAACAGAGGGAAGGTTTCAAGATGAGAAAAATGCTATTGTAAGAGCAGCACTTCCCCAAAAGTTTTTACCTCCATTACTTCTTGTTTTTCATCTGCAGCAAAGATGTTAGGTATTTCTCCAGTATTGAGCATGCTGTCAATATCTTCTAGAAAAGCTTCCTCTTTAATCTGAGTGTCTGTAATTAGAAAGACTGTCTTCTGGCCTCTCATGCCCACATTTTTCAACAGACCCTTAAAAGTAAAATGCCTTTATTAGTAGAATGTGATAGACTTATGTTGGTTTTCTTTCCCTCCCTTTCTCCTTCTTTTGATAACACTTTTAAGGACACTAAGTCTCCCGACTTCTGGTGGGGCTATCAATCAAGTCTCCATTTCTCTCATTCCCTAGGTGGGTTATCCAAACTAGTCAGTTTCCCCAATCCCCTAGGCATAGACATTGATTCAGAAGAAGGCACATTATTTAAGCAGAACCCTGTCATAGTGTTGCTTCGGGGCCTGAGATGGAGTTGAAACAAAAAGAATTCTTGTTTTGAGATGGAGGATACAAAGGCCAATAATTCATGAAACCAACTGTACTTGCCTCATGGATTAAGCCTGCTGGAGAAGGAAGACAAAAGAATAAGAGCTGTACTAGAAAAGAATAATTACTGAAGACATAATTGGAGGCCCTAAATTCAGCCATATCAAAAGACAATCTACCTACAGACACTTGAATCCTGTAAGTTATTAACTTCTTCTTTAGCTTAAACTACTATGAACTATTTTTGTTTGGTTATCAACTGCAACCAAAATTTCCAACTGATAAAAAGATATGGACTCAGTAGTGTGCTGGAACTGATTGTATAGTCTTGTTAGACTGTTAAAACTTCAGGAACTTCTGAGCAGTTTATTAATTATGGTCAGGATTAAAATTAAATTATGTCCTGGGTGCAGTGGCACATGCTTGTAATCCCAGTGGCTCTGGAAGCTGACACAGGAGGATTGCTAGTTCAAAGCCAGCCTCAGCAAAAGTGAAGTGCTAAGCAACTTAGTGAGACCCTATCTCTAAATAAAATACAAAATAGAGCTAGGGATGTGGCTCGGTGGTTGAGTGCCCCTGAGTTCAATCCCTAGTACCCGCTCCCCCAAGAATTCAATATTTTCTAATTGTATAAAACTGTCTTTTCCTAGTAAAGCTATTTTCTAATATGTAGGCTGATTTGTTCCTGGAAATAATTTTCTATCATCAAAACCAGAGTAGCTAATAGTTTTTAAAGAAGTATTATATCAAATCATATCAGTTTTATACTTATTAATATATCTAAACAAATAGAAAATACAATATAATTAGTTTTAACTTATTGCCATGATCATCACTGTATGTAAAATTAGTATTCAAACATGTGTGAAACTATCTCCAAATAAAAAGAGGATTAACATTTTCAAAGTAGTAATTATATGCCAGGCATATTACAAGAATACTTTGTACAATTTAACCACAATAATCTATAGAACAGATTGTATTATTCAAATTTTACAAATGAAAAATATAGCAAGTGGCAGCAGCAAGAGAACAGGCTAGGAAGCTTCAGATCCTCTTAGGAGTCTCTCCAAGCTGATATCCTACCTATGGTGTTATTCCTATCAGAATTCCAAGCCAGGTGAGACAGCCCTAGGACAAATCAGAATACTGAACTCAAGTGATATATGGAGGCAGGATTTGGGAATTATTCTCCCATTCTCACCACACCACAGAAAACAGGCATGTGCCTTAGTGGGTGACAGCAGCAAAGGGAGCGAGAGATCAAAATCAAAGGTATAAAACAAAAAACAAAAGGGCCTGAGAATAGGAAATTAAGACAGTCAAAAAACTCTTCCATACACTAGAATAAAAGCACATGCATGGTACTGGCACCAAAATAGACATGTAGACCAATGGCACAGAATAGTAGACGCAGAGACAAATCCACACAAATACAGTTATCTCATATTAGACAAAGGTGCTAAAAACATTCACTGGAGAAAAGACAGCCTATTCAACAAACAGTGCTGGAAAAATGAAATTAAACCTCTATCTCTCACCTTGCACAAAAATCAACTTACAGAGGATCAAAGACTTAGGCACTAGAACAGAGACACTGCACCTACAGAAGAATAAGTAGGCGCAAATCTTCACCATGTCGGCCTAGGATCTGACTTCCTTAACAAGACCCCTAAAGTGCAAGAAGTAAAATCAAAAATCAATAAATAAGATGGATTCAAATTTAAAAGCTTCTTCTCAGCAAAGGAAACAATCAGTAATGTGAGGAGAGAGCCTCCAATAAAGCATTAATCTCTAGGATATATAAAGAACTCAAAAAACTTAACACCAAAAACCAATTAACCCAATCAATAAATGGGCTAAGGAACTGAACAGACACTTCACAGAAGAAGAAATACAACTGATGAACAAATATATGAAAAAGTATTCAACATCTCTAGCAAGTAGATAAATGCAAATCAAAACTACACTAAGATTTCATCTCACTCCTGTCAGAATGGCAATCATTAAGCCTACAGGCAACAATAAATGTTGGCAAGGATGTTGGGGAAAAAGGCACACTCACACATTGCTGGTTGGACTGAAAACTGGTGCAACCACTATAGAAAGCAATATGGAGATTCCTCAGAAAACTTGGAACGGATTCACCATTTGACCCAGTTATCCCACTCTGAGGTCTATACCCAAAGGACTTAAAATCAGCATACTACAGTGATGCAACCACATCAATGTTTATAGCAGCTCAATTCACAATAGTTAAACTATGTAACCAACATAGGTGTCCTTCAATAGATGAATGGATAAAGAAAATGTGGTATATACAGTCAGTGGAATATTACTCAGCTATAAAGAAGAATGAAATTATGGTATTTGCCGGTAAATGGATGGAGCTGGAGAATATTATGCTAAGTGAAATAAGCCAATCCCCCTAAACCAAAGACTAAATGTTTTCTCTAATATGTGGATGCTAGTTCACAATAAGTGTTGGGGGGCACTAGAGAAGAATAGAGTTAGATTAGGTAGAGGAAAGTAAAGGGAGTGGAAGGGAGGTAATGTGGGGATAGGAAGAATAGTAGAGTGAAACAGACATTATTACATTATGTATACATATGACTGCATGACCAATGTGATTCTACATCATGTACACTCAGAAAAAGGAGAAATTATATCCTATCTATGTATATCAAAGTGCATAAATACATTCTACTGTCATATATAACTAATTAAAAAATTAAAAACTAAAAAAGAAAATTTAAAAAGCACATGTGTGCCCGCATACAAACACACACAACCCCCAAAAAGATACATTCTAAGAAAAAGTCTGAAAGGTCTTAGGCTAGAGATCCAGGTTGGTTGGTAAAGGTCTTCCCTGGCCTATAGTCAGTCATAAAGACTTGGAGAAGTAGCTTGTGTTTTCAAATGCCCATATAGCAATAGAAGATCCAAAGGATGCAAAGACACAGGGACACGTGGCCTGCAAAGAAATAAAATAAACTTCAGAAACCAACCCTAAGGAAATACAGATCTATAAAATACCTAATAAAGAATTTAAAATAACTACTTCAATGAACTAAAAAGGAATACTGTCAACTAAACTAAACCAGAAAAACAAAATGATAATATCCACAAAGAGATACAAACTAAAAAATCTAATCAAATAAAAATTATGGATCTGAAAATGTACAATAACTGAACTGAAAAATTCCTTAGGGGGAGGTTCAACATTAAACTTACAGAATAAAGAGTCAGCTAACTTGAAAACAAGTTATCAGCTGGACCACCATATATATTATGGGAACCCCAGAAGGACACAGGGAGAGAAAAGGGCAGAGAGTTAATGTGAAGAAATAATGGCCCCAGACTTTGAAAATCTGAGGAAAGAAAGGGATATACAAAGTCAAGAAACTCAATGAATAGTAATTAGGATAAGTTAAAAGGGACTACACTGAGAAACATTATAATCAGACTTTCAAAAGTCAAAGACAAATAGAAGGTATTGAAAGTAGTAAGAACCTGCAACTTATCATGTATAAAAGAGTTTCCCCCAAGATTATCAGTGAATTTTTCAGCAGAAACCTATATAGTAGAAGGAAGTGGGGTGATATATTCGAAGTGCTACAAGAAGAAATGTGCCAACCAATACTATATCTGGTAAACTTATCTTTCAGAAATGAAGGAGAAATTAAGGCCTTTCCAAATAAATAAGTTCATTGCCATTAGATCTGCCCCAAACAAATACTAAAGGGAGTCCTTCAAGTTGAAGTTAAAGGACCTAGACAGCAACATAAAGCCATACAAAAGTATCAATTTTCTAGTAACAGTAAACAGAGAATCCTCATTATTGTAATTTTGGTGCACAAATCTAGTTTTAATTCCAAAAGGAAAAAAGCATAAAAACACAAAAACTTATAAATGTATGTTAATGGGCACACAATTTATGAAGATATACTCTGTGACATCAATAACAAAGTGTAAAAGTGTAGATCTGAGTAAAATTTTTCTATGCAATTGAATTTATCAGTTTTAAATAGATTGTTAGAACTTTTAAGTTTTTTCATATAATAATAATGGTTACTAAAAGGAAAATACCGTTCTTTTTATATCCTGAAGATTAATACTTTATCTGAGATGCAGGTGGGAAAGATTTTTCTCCCATTCTGTATGCTCTCTGTTCATGTTCTTGATTGTTTCCTTTGCTGTGAAGAAGCTTTTTATTTGATGCCATCCCATTTATTCATTCTTGATTTTACTTCTTGTGCTTTAGGAGTTTTATTGATGAAGTCTGTTCCTGAGCTGATATGATTGAGAGTTGGGCCTGCTTTTTCTTCTAGTATGCACAGGGTTTCTGGTCTAACACCAAGGTCCTTGATCCACTTTGAGTTTTGTGCAGGGTGAGATACAGGGTTTCAATTTCAATCTAGCACATATGGATTTCCAGTTTTCCCAGCACCATTTGTTGAAGAGGCTATCTTTTCTCCAATGTATGTTTTTGGCGCCTTTGTCTAGTATGGGACACCTGTATTTATGTGGGTATGTCTCTTAGTCTTCTGTTCCACTGGTCTTCAATTCTATTTTTGTGCCAACACTATGATTATGTAGTATAATTTAAAGTCTGGTATTGTGATGCCTCCTGCATTACTTTTCTCACTAAGGATTGCTTTGGCTATTCTGGCCTCTTTTATGAGTGCTTTTTTCTATTTCTATGAAGAACGTCACTAAAATTTTAATGGAAATTGCATTAAATCTGTATAGCATTTTTAGTTGTATGGCCATTTTGACTTTTTAAATATTTATTTTTTATTTGTAGCTGGACACAATACCTTTATTTATTTATTTATTTTATGTGGTGCTGAGGATTGAACCCAGGGCCTCACATGTGCTAGGCAAGTACTCTACCGCTGAGCCACAACCCCAGCCCCATTTTGACAATATTAATTCTGCCTATCCAAGAACATAGGAGGTCGTATCTTTTCTAAGGTCTTCTTCAATTACTTTCTTTAGTATTTTGTAGTTTTCATTGTAGAGGTCAGTCTTCCACTTCTTTTGTTAGATTGATTCCTAGTTAGTCAGAATTTTCACTGCTGTGATTAAAAGATCCAACCAGCACAACTATAGAGAAGCAAAGGTTTATTTGGGGGCTCATGGTTTCAGAGGTCTAAGTCCATGGACAGCTGACTCTATTCCTCAGGGCTCAAGGTGAGGCAGGACATCATGGCGGAAAAGTGTGGGAGAGGGAAGCAGATTAAATGGTGACCGGGAAGCAGAGGAAGTTTATAACACCTCAATTCACAATAGCAAAGCTAGGGATCCAACCTAGATGCCCTTCAACAGAAGCATGGATATAGAAACTTTGTATGTATATATATATATATATATATATATATATATATATATATATATATATACAATGAAATATTACTCAGCTATAAAAAAGAATGAAATTATGACATTTGCCAGTAAATGAATGGAACTGGAGACTATCATGATAAGTGAAATAAGCCAGTCCCCAAAAACCAAAGGTTGAATGTTCTCTCTGATATGTGGATGCTAACCCATAACAAGGGAGGGTAAGATGGGGAAATATAGAAATTCATTGGATTAGATAAAGGGGAATGAAGGGAAGAGACGGGAGGGGAGGTGGTAATAGGAAAGACAATAGAATGCACCAGACATCACTTTCCTGTGCTCATATATGAACACAAGACCAGTGTAACTCCACATCAAGTTCAACCACAAGAATGGGAACAAAATTGTAATGGGTTGCATCCCATGTATGTATGTCAAAATATACCCTGTCATGTAAAAACAACTAATAAAAAAAAGGAAAATACATACCCAGAAATAAAGAGGTCACTATAACCAATGCCACAAAATAAAAAAGATTACAGGAGAATTCTATAAACAACTGAGTACCAACAAATTGAGTAACCCAGAATAGGATAAGTTCATAGAAACTCCATTACAACACAGATTTTGACATATTCTTGACAAATATTCCAAAACATATCTACCAAAAAACCCCAGACTTATTATATATCACAATATACATGTAAATATACTTACCATTCTATCTCATGTTTATAACAATCATATTATACTACATATATGAACAATTAAATTTATTTAAAAAATTAAAATATGCAAAGACAACACAGCTAACAAATCATGCAAAGCAGAAGTTAAAATTGAGTATATCTGACTTCAAGGTTCAATGTTTTTGCTACTTTGAAGGAATCAATACATAAGTATTATGCTTTCTAAGTCTATTAGTTTATTAGGCAGTGAACATATAAAAATTTTTCCTTTAAAGCATGAACAAAAACAAAGAGGAAATGATATAAATATATCCTTTTTCCTTTCACGTCTATGTGGAACTCTTTGATATCTCCTTCAGTTCTACCATTTCTACCTGCTACTAGCCAAGAAAAAGTAATTCTCTATGTTAATGTTCTTTAAATATTTATTTTTTTAGTTGTAGTTGGACACAATACCTTTATTCCAAGCATTCATTTTTATGTGGTGCTAAGGATCGAATCCAGAGCCCCACATGTGCTAGGTGAGCACTCTACTGCAAAGTCACAACCCCAGCCCTCTCTATGTTAATTTTTAATATGTAAAGATTTAATGGGGTTGTGGCTCAGGGGTAGAGTTCTTGCCTAGCATATGTGAGGCACTGGATTTGATTCTCAGCCCCATATATAAATAAATGAATAAAATAAAGGTCTATTAACAACTAACAATATTTAAAAACTATATAATGGGTATGGTCCAGTGAAAGTGAAAGAAGTCCACAACATCTCCTTTCTCCTTTTCCTTCTCCTTCTCCTTCTCTCTCTCTCTCTCTCTCTCTCTCTCTCTCTCTCTCTCTCTCTCTTTCTCTCTCTTTTCTTTTTTGGCCATTTTTGGGTCATCTCTGTACTGAAGTCTCTATAGAAGACCGTAGATCCCTATGTAAATTAAGGATAAAACTCCAAATATGCACTGCACTTTTCTCTTGGTTGCTAGGACAGCAACACAGCACTAAAGAAATTACTAATACATCATTATCATCATCATTATTGATATACCTAGCCTAATTCTCTCTGTAGATTGTCACAAGTTATGAAGGATTCATTTCTGTTTTCTGTAAAAATATTAGGATGTCTGTATAGCCTGGCCATAAGTTAATGTTGTAAAGCTGCCCATGCCTTTAACTCACCCATGCCCGGTTTTCCCTGACCAGATAACAAACCTTAGTTTCCTAAACCTTAGTGACACCTCATAAATCCTGGCCTTCCCTGGCTAGATAACGACCCTCTCTGAGGCTCTAACGACTTTCATAAATTCTGATGTCGGGGCCAGCAAAAATGTAAACCAGCATTTGTGTTATGCTCATCAGAGTTTTGTTATCTGTAACCCCCCCTTTGTGTAACTTTTTGGGCTATAAAGCTGGGCTGCAAGAGAGCTGCAGGGCTGTCCTTGGCTCCCACGATTTTGTTGGGAAAGGCAGCCCAGCAGGTTGAAATAATAAGCTTGCTTAAATTTGATTTTAATTGGAGTCAGTGGTCTTTTCTTGCATCATGGTCTAACAATTACGAGTTTTTTTTTTTTTTTTTTGAAGAGCTAGAAATTGAACCCAAACCATCACACATGCTAGCAATGCACTCCACCACTGAGCTAAACCCCTAGCCCATACTGCTCATGTTGTCTACTGGAAGTCACATATTTATCTAAAATAAATCCTCCCAGAACTAGAATAAAGATAGTATCAGCAGCAACAGTTGTAATAGTATAGTGAATAAGACTTGAATCAGAAAGCCATGCTCTACTGTGCATCACTTCCCTCTATTTCAGTGTACTCATACTGTTGTGCCTATAAAATAAGATCATATGGTAAAACGCTCAGGACAGTGTTCAGCACACATAGTAGGTGATCAATGGACAGTATTATCATCATCCGTGTATTCAGTATACATCTACACAGGATATTTCTTTCTATATGGGTAAAAGTACACATTATTATCATTTTAGATGCTAGATTTCTTCATAATTTTACCTTTAAATCATCTCTCCACTCATTCATACTATAGCTCTTAGAAATTTCTGGTTGGAAAATCTGCATTTTTGCCATGGATGTAGCCAGACGAGTTAAAGACTGACGACCACTTCCTCCAAGCCCAACAAGCAAAGCATTTCCACCAGACTGCTTTAGATTTCGACATATTCTTGACAAATGTTCCAAAACATATCTAAGAAAAAACCCCACACTAATTATATATCACAATAAATAGGTAAATATGTTTACCATTTTATTTCATGTTTATAACAATTATATTATACTGTATATATGCACAAGTAAATTTATTTTTAAAATATGCAAAATAAGACTTTGCATATATGTGTAAGAAAATATACAGGTGTAGTGAAAGTCCAAAGAAACACATGAGTTACTATTACTATAGGTTATGATGGGAGACACAGTGAAGAAGGGTAGACTACAGCAGGGGACTTCAAATAAATTTTTCATATTATATATGTATAATGTGTATTTAATATCTTTTTCTTTATATCTTTTTGTACATTTTAAATATTTCAAAATAAAATTTTACAAATAGCAATTTAAGCATTAATATCAAATGTAGGTACCTAAACACAACAAGATTCATTCTCGTTTTGTGAGTTTGATTATACTCATCTAAGCATTGGTCTACAATGTCACTAAAATGGCGAATATTTGGAATTTCAATATAAACTCTATCATCTCCTTCAAGGTCGGGATTCATATAATCACCAAACATGAGATTTCTTAAGTCTTCTTCAGTCACCTATAGAATGGAAATGAACAGATTACAAAACTTAAAAATTTTTCTAAAATATATTTAAGGAAGTGACTGTTGAGAGCCACAGCCAAAGGGGCCCCAGCAAACTTCCAGCTGCCAGCTGATGATTGGCTCACAGCGGCCCCAGCAACATCTAGCTGATTGGCTCCTCTGCGGTGATGCTCATTGGGCTGTTTCCCTGCCCTTTCAGACCACGGAGCTGCTCATTGGGGGACTTTTTTGGCTCCGCCCACATGACCCAGCCAATCGGCCTCAAGAGCAGGAGGATTGTGGGAGGTGGAGAGAAGCTTGTGTGGGAGAGAGAGGCTTGTGGAAAGCCGGTGGTGGCAGTTGAGGCTCTGAGGGTTTTTCCTGAGAGGCTGTTTTGTTTGGCGTGTGTGGTTCTAAAAATAGTTTCTTCAATTTTACCCCTTCCCAATTCCTTCTTTTTGCTTTACTAAGCAATTTTGGTGGACTTAGAATTTCTCAGCTTTGTCATTAATATTAATAATCAATTGGAGCTATTTATGGCTTTCAATGCCGCAGTCTGGCTGGGCACAATCAGGAGCCACTTGTCAAAAGAAACTAACTTTATTAACAAGCCTCTCTCTCCCACACAAGCTTCTCTCCACCTCCCACAATCCTCCTGCTCTTGAGGCCGATTGGCTGGGTCACGTGGGCGGAGCCAAAAAAGTCCCCCAATGAGCAGCTCCGTGGTCTGAAAGGGCAGGGAAACTGCCCAATGAGCATCACCGCAGAGGAGCCAATCAGCTAGATGTTGCTGGGGCCGCTGTGAGCCAATCATCAGCCGGCAGCTGGAAGTTTGCTGGGGCCCCTTCGGCTGTGGCTCTCAACAAATGACACAAAACTTAGTTTTATGTATGTTATGGAATGATTATAAATTCAATAATTGTTTTAAACATTATGTAGGGAATCATATACTTGTAAAATTAATGCCTAAAACTATATTCCTAGTAAATAATAAGTTTTTTTCTAGTCTGGAGGATCATCTTGGGTGACTCCCAATTATTATTTACTAAGGGATGGTACTATGTTACATATTTTATTATATCATTTAACTACTATCATACAAGGTTTTATCCTTTAAATAACTTCTGTTATATTCATTTCTCTGAAGATTAACTTCTTCAAAATAAACACCTATTCATAAGAAAAGCTGCAAGAATATGATCATTAAAAAGCAACATTTTGCTGGGTGGGTATGGTGGCACACAACAGTGACTTGGGAGGCTAAGGCAGGAAGATCGAAACTCTAAAGCCAGCCTTGGAAATTTAGTGAGATTCTGTTTAAAAATAAAAAATAAAGTCCAGGTATGGTGGTGCACACCTGTAATCCCAGCAGCTCAGGAGCCTAAAGCAGGAAGATTACGAGTTCAAAGCTAGCCTCAGCAACTTAATGAGGCCCTAAACAACTTAATGAGGCCCTAAGCAACTCAATGAGACCCTGTCTCAAAATAGAAATATAAAAAAGGGTCTGGGAATGTGGCTTAGTGGTTAAGCACCCCTGGGTTGAATCTGGAGTGCCAAAATAAAATATAAATAAATAAAGTTTTTAAAAAGGGTAGGAGATGTAGCTCATTGGTCGAGTTGCCCCTGGGTTCAAATACTGCAAAAAAAGCAATATTTTTTAAAAATAAATTAATTGATAAATACAATTCATGCAAATGTATTGCTTTAACTTGACATATTTTTTAATCACTACATATACTCACTGGTGCATTCTCTTTCCTCAAATGTAAAAAAACACCATCAAATGATTCTTTAAAATTGTCCTTTATAACAATTTTGATTAATTTGAACAACCAGTTTCTATCATCATCATTAATGAGGCGATCATAAAACACTCGGAGAACCTCATGCACAAACAGGCGGATCATAGTGTGCTTGCTCTCTACAGCATCTCTTTGAATGAGTAAACAGCCCCGGATGACGCGTGAAAAATCACGCAAGTTGAAAGTATAATGAGATTTTGCAGGAGTGGGCAAAAGATTTTCCATGGATCGTTTATATATCTGTATGCGAAAAAACACAACAAAGCAAAAATGAAAGGCTTATAATCAGTGAAAGTATAATGAATAATACAAGAAATATTTTATTTATCCTATCAGATTATATCATCCTGGAAAACTGTGTAGTACTAAGCCTAGCATAGCATGTTTCTTTTTTTCTATAGCTCTCAACCAGGCTTTATGAAGTTAAAGGAACTTCTGATACTAAGTCTACTTATATTTCCCAATTATTACAGTTGTGCCATTTAAAGATGAGTGACTGGGGTTAAATAGTTAAAAATTTAGTAGGAAGTGAAATTAGGTAATTCATTCTGAAACGTTCCAAATAAAGAGGATTAAATAATTTCCCATTGACTGATTCTTTCTCTTCCCTTCCCTTCTTTTACTGTTTGTCCTTCTATTCTTTCCTCTATTTTTACTGGTAGATTATGGAAAAGAAGTATATATTTGCTATCAATATTCTGTTAAGAAAGGTGATTTAAATCTTCTATAATATAGAAAGTCAAAGAAAAATATTTAAATTTGTATGCATTCTTTGGTTCATCCCCTTGTCCCAATTTCCACACATTGGTTGGTCTATAATGCTTCAAAGAGAGGAGAGAAAAAAAAGAAAGGAATCCTTTTTGTGTCTGACCTCCTTACCTTTCCAATAGAGGCCTGAAATATAAATATTATATTTTATAAATAGAAGCACTTTTCTTTATCAAAATAAATGTATTATTTGTGTAGTACTGTTACATGATATTATTCTGTTTCAAAATAAATACCCCTTTGCTCATAGCTTCTCTACTTTAGCAGCATAAATTTTCCACTGAAACAAAGAGAAAATAACCTTAAAAAGATACAGTATTCTCAGAAACTGATAGAATAAAGCTAGGGAATTTTTTGCCTCCTGTTGCAGTCATCCCAAAATGAACTCCACTTTATCAAGCTTCCAGAAAGCTTAGTTTGATGAGATTGCCACTGATTGCTTTAAATACTTTTTTCTTTTTACCATTAAATATGAGGCTGGCTTTGGCCTCTGTGCAGGGAGCTGTTCTTTGATCATATAGGAAGTCTTGTTTTCTACTCCCATGCTTTTATTTATCTATTATCTTTTCACTACTACTTCTAAGTTATGTATTATAAACTCCTTCCTTCCTTCCTTCCTTCCTTCCTTCCTTCCTTCCTTCCTTCCAAGACAAGCATGAAGAACAAGAGGGAAGACAGGAGAAAATTAACAAATACCACAGTAGAAACCTAACAACTGGGAAAATACCTATGATATGGCAGATACTGGTTCTGGATGAATTTCTTATAGGAATCTTGTGAAGTGGATATTATATCCCATTTTAGTGGTTAAAAAACTGAGCTTCTGAAAGGTCAAATTACTTGCTCAAGGTCAATCAGTCATGAAACAGTAGTCAAAGCTCAACCCTACTTAGATCCACTAATTTCAAAGCCTGTGATTTGTTTGCTGTTCTTAAATCTTCTCTGATAACAAAGATCAAAGTAGATGGCTAAGGAAAAATGTTTTTAAAAGGGTCAACATATTACCAAAAGTGATCTATATATTCAATGTAATCTCCATCAAAATACCAACAACATTCTTCACAGAACTAGAAAAAATAGTCCTAAAGAAGAATAAAAGACTCAGAATAGTCAAAGCAATTCTAAGCAACAAAAAAAAAAAAAAGAAAAGAAATGCTGGAGACATGCAGATTCCTGACTTCAAATTATAGTACAGAGCTATAATAACAAAAATTATATGGTACTGGCATAAAAAGAGACACATAGACCAGTGCAACCAAACAGAAGTCACAGAGACAAACCCACACAAGTACAGTCATCTGAATCCTTTATAAAGGTGCCAAAAACATGTTGGAGAAAAGACAGCCTTTTAAACAAACGATGCTGGCAAAACTGGATATCCATATGTGGAAGAATAATACTAGATCTCTATTTTTTACCCTGCACAAAAGTCAATGTAAAATGGATCAAGTACTAGAAATTAGACCAGAAACTCTGTGACTGCTAAAAGAATATGTAGGGTCAACAATCCAACCTATAGGCACAGACAACAGCTTCCTCTATGGAAGCTCAGGAAATAATACCAAGAATTAAAGAGTAGGAGAGCATTAAATTAGAAAGTTTCTGTACAACAAGGAAACAATTAAGAATGTGAAGAGAATCCACTGGGTGCGGTGGCCCATGCCTGTAATTCCAGTGGCTTGGAGGCTGAGGTAGAAGGATCGTGTGTTCAAAGCCAGCCTCAGCAAAAGCAAGGTGCTAAACAACTTGGTGGGACCCATATCTAAATAAAATACAAAATAGGGCTCGGGATGTGGCTCAGTGGTTGAGTCCCCTTGAGTTCAATTGCCATTAACCCCCACCAAAAAGAAAAAAAGAATGTGTAGAGAGAGAGTCTATAGAGTGGGAGAAAAATCTTTGCAATTTACTCTTCCAACAGAAGATTAATATCCAGAGTATAGAGAACTCAAAAAACTTAACACTGAAAAAACAAATAATCCAATCAATAAATGTGCAAATGAACTAAAAGATATGTTTCAAAAGAAGAAATACAAGTGGCCAACAAATATACGAAAAATGTTCAACATCTTTAGCAATCCAGGAAATGCAAATCCAAACTACACTGAGATTTCATCTCACTCCAGTTAGAATGGCAGCCATCACAAATATAAATAATAATAAATCCTGAAGAGGATGTGGGAGAAAGAAACACTTATATTGTTGGTATAATATAATCTCTATAGAAAACAATGTGCATTTTCCTCTAAAGACTAGGAATGGAAACCTCAAAAACCAGCTATATCAAGAATTAATAAAAGAGATAGCATCACTTCTCAGTATTTATCCTAAAATATTAAAATCAGCATAATATATAGATTGTACAAATTATGGAAGCAGCCTAGTGTCCATCAACAGATGAATGGATAAAGAAAATGTGGTATATATACTCCATGGAGTTAGCCATAAAGAAGAAATTATGTTGACTGCAGGAAAGTGGATAGAACTCGAGAGCTTATATTAAGCAAAATAAGCCAGATTCAGTAAGTCAAGGGTTATATGCTTTCTCTCATATGTTGAAGTTAGAGAGACAAAAAAGGGAAAAATAGAGGGGGAGCTCATGAAAATAGAGGGGATATCAATAGAGTAGAGGAAGGGAACCAAGGGAAGGGAGGAAGAGAGGGAAATGGGAAGTACTACTGAATTAAATAACCCAATTATATTGTTATATTGTGCGCATGTATGAGAATGTAACAACAAATCATAAAGCATCAATAAAATACAAAATATAAAAAGGCCAAATGAGGGAAATATGTAACACCAAAACAATTTATACTGCATTACTTTCTCACCTCCATAGTCCCACTGACTATTTGGTTCCCAGTTATAAAATACTCTGTAGGAAATTCACGAGTCCTGAGGTAGAATGCCACAATTGTTGAGAAGATTCGAACCATAGTTTCATCACTAAAAGAATTAATACTGCAGATGTTGAAATGTCGAAGAAAACGGGGAGTGACTGGATTTCTTCCACCACCTGGAGGACCCATGGCAGCAATCAGCTCTATATCAACCAGTGTGATTTTACTTGTGTCCTTAAGATCATACCTTATAAACACATAAAAATTTAAACAATCTGTTATAAATAAGATGGAATTAATATAGATATCCCTAGAAATTTAATCTGATTTTAGCTTCTATAAAAGGAATAATTTTACATATGCTTTAAGTAGGAGATAATCTTTTATTTGAAGTAGAATTTTATTTCTGCCTTCAATGACACTGATTCAATTACCCAGATTCTATGATGATGATTTTTCTATGATTCAATACAAAAGGCATGATCTATGAAAGAAATAATCAAAAAGCTGACTTCATTAAAATTAAAGCTTCTGGGGTTGCAGCTCAATAATGGAACACTTGCCTAGTATGTGTGAGGCACTGGGTTCAATTCTCAGCACAACGTATAAATAAATAAATAAAAATAAAAGTCCACTGACAACTAAAAATTATGGCCCTTCATCCTATCCTTCCATTTATTTCCTCCTACATTTCATTCCAATTTGACTCTCCATTTTTCCTTTTCTTTCTCCAAACCCAGAAACATGGATGAACGCTCCTACAACCTACTTGTAGCTAGATATAGGTAGGATGGCTTTATGTCCCACTTTACCTAGGACAAATCTAGTTTATGCTGGTTGTCCAGTAAATATTAATGACATCCTCCTTTTATTCTCAGAAATGTCCCAGTTTGAACCATGAATTATACAGTTGCCCTAGTTATGGTGATGTCCTGGCTTTCTTTTTCTCATATCAAATCTAATCTTCAGAATACATAAGATTGTCTAAATAGTACCTATATGTACTTTGTTATGCTAGAAAGAAATGAGCCAAAAGAAGACACAGAGGAAACTTAAAGGCACATTTTAAGTGAAAGATGGCAATCTGGAAGGATTATATACTGTATGATTCCAATTATATAACTGCTATAGTTTGGATCTTGAATATCCCACATAGGCCTATGTGTTAAAGTCTTGGCACCATTGGGAGGTGGTAGAAACTTTAAGAGGTGGGGTCTAGTGGGAGTTTTTCAGGTCACTGGGGACATGCTCTCAAAGAGGATTCTGGGACCCTCGTCTTTCCCTTATGGCTACCTAGCCATAAGTTGAATGGTTTTGCTCCCTACACACTCCCTGCCATAATGTGTTATTTCTGCAAGACTGAAAGCGAAAGGGTTAACTAACATGGACTGAAACCTCTAAAAATAAGAGAAAAAAAATCCTTGTTCTTTATAAGCTGATTATTCATATATTGTTAAAGCAACAAAAAGATGACTAAGTGGAAAAGGCTAAACTATGGAGATAATAAAAAGATTAGTTGTTGCCAGGTAGGGGGTGGTGAAAAACAGTACAGAAGACTTTTAAGGCAGTGATACTAATATATATGATATTATAATGATAGACACATGAAATTATACAGTTTCCAAACTCTTGAATGTACAACATGAAGAACAAGCACTAAGGTAAACTATGAACTTTGGGTGATAATTATTTGTCAATGTAAGCTTATCAACTGAACAAATGTACCACTCCAGTGGAAAATGTTGATAATGGGGGAGGCTAGCATATTTGGGAACAGAAATTATACAGACAATCTCTATACCTTCTTATTGCTTCATTATAAGTCTAAAACTCCTCTAAAATAATCTTCAAAAAAGATATACACTTGGGTATGGTGGCACACACCTATAATCCTAGCTACTTGGAAGAGTCGGGTGAGAAGATCACTTAAGCACAGTTCAAGGCCAGTCTAGACAACACAGAGAGATACCATCTCAAAAAAAGAAAGAAAAGAAACAAAAACAAACACAAGATATAGAAAATCCTTCCAAAACTTCTGTATAGGAAAATCTCATCAATGATCTTTTTCCTTAAATAACATAAAATGTACTATTTTGCTTTGAAAAACTAAAATATAAAAATGAGCAATTACTTCAGCATAGCTTACTTATTAAGGTGTCAGTTAATATTTACCAATTTCCACAGTCAAAAAACTGTCGTAATAATTCAATAGGAGGTTGAGCTCCATATTTCTCCAATGCAGGCATATTCATATCATCTATGAAAATTATACATTTCTTTCCCATAGGTGGTCCAAAAACTCCTTTGCGTCTCTTATCCAATCTAGTCATAATGATATTCTAAAGTTTTTAAAAGAAAGAGTGATATATTAACCTATAATCATATTACATATTTGTTATTATTATTATTGCTTATGTTAAATTACTATAAAGAAGGACTTATACTGCCAATATCCATGGGATTTTTATTAGTAGGAGATACCATTTATCTTTTTTGTTTGTTTGTTTTGCAATGTTTTATTCTCTTCCATTTTTATTACAACTACTTACAGTGAGTACAAAGGATGTCAGGAAAAAAGAAAGTTAATAATGAGAAACATAAATTTGTTTTCTTCTCTAATTCTCTTCTTTTTTTTTTCTTTTTATCTTGCTTTATTCTTAACAGCATTTCTTTTTTTTAAATTTTTTATTGTTGGCTGTTCAAAACATTACATAGTTCTTGATATATCATATTTCACACTTTGATTCAAGTGGGTTATGAACTCCCATTTTTACCCCATATACAGATTGCAGAATCACATCAGTTACACATCCATTGATTTACATATTGCCATACTAGTGTCTGTTGTGTTCTGCTGCCTTTCCTATCCTCTACTATCCCCCCTCCCCTCCCCTCCCCTCCCCTCTTCTCTCTCTGCCCCCTCTACTGACATTCATTTGTCCCCCTTGTATTATTTTTCCCTTTCCCCTCACTTCCTCTTGTATGTACTTTTGTATAACTCTGAGGGTCTCCTTCCATTTCCATGCAATTTCCCTTCTCTCTCCCTTTCCCTCCCATCTCTCATCCCTGTTTAATGTTAATCTTCTTCTCATGCTCTTCGACCCTACTCTGTTCTTAGTTACTCTCCTTATATCAAAGAAGACATTTGGCATTTGTTTTTTAGGGATTGGCTAGCTTCACTTAGCATAATCTGCTCTAATGCCATCCATTTCCCTGTAAATTCTATGATTTTGTCATTTTTTAATGCAGAGTAATACTCCATTGTGTATAAATGCCACATTTTTTTTATCCATTCGTCTATTGAAGGGCATCTAGGTTGGTTCCACAGTCTAGCTATTGTGAATTGTGCTGCTATGAACATCGATGTAGCAGTGTCCCTGTAGCATGCTCTTTTTAGGTCTTTAGGGAATAGACCGAGAAGGGGAATAGCTGGGTCAAATGGTGGCTCCATTCCCAGCTTTCCAAGAAATCTCCATACTGCTTTCCAAATTGGCTGCACCAATTTGCAGTCCCACCAGCAATGTACAAGTGTACCCTTTTCCCCACATCCTCGCCAGCACTTGTTGTTGTTTGACTTCATAATGGCTGCCAATCTAACTGGAGTGAGATGGTATCTTAGGGTGGTTTTGATTTGCATTTCTCTGACTGCTAGAGATGGTGAGCATTTTTTCATGTACTTGTTGATTGATTGTATGTCCTCCTATGAGAAGTGTCTGTTCAGGTCCTTGGCCCATTTGTTGATTGGGTTGTTTGTTCTCTTATTGTCTAATTTTTTGAGTTCTTTGTATACTCTGGATATTAGGGCTCTATCTGAAGTGTGCGGAGTAAAGATTTGTTCCCAGGATGTAGGCTCCCTATTTACCTCTCTTATTGTTTCTTTTGCTGAGAAAAAACTTTTTAGTTTGAGTAAGTCCCATTTGTTGATTCTAGTTATTAACTTTTGTGCTATGGGTGTCCTATTGAGGAATTTGGAGCCCGACCCCACAGTATGTAGATCGTAGCCAACTTTTTCTTCTATCAGACGGCGTGTCTCTGATTTGATATCAAGCTCCTTGATCCATTTTGAATTAACTTTTGTGCATGGCGAGAGAAACGGATTCAGTTTCATTTTGTTGCATATGGATTTCCAGTTTTCCCAGCACCATTTGTTGAAGATGCTATCCTTCCTCCATTGCATGCTTTTAGCCCCTTTATCAAATATAAGGTAGTTGTAGTTTTGTGGATTGGTTTCTGTGTCCTCTATTCTGTACCATTGGTCCACCCGCCTGTTTTGGTACCAGTACCATGCTGTTTTTGTTACTATTGCTCTGTAGTATAGTTTGAAGTCTGGTATCGCTATATCCCCTGATTCACACTTCCTGCTTAGCATTGTTTTTGCTATTCTGGGTCGTTTATTTTTCCATATGAATTTCATGATTGCTTTCTCTATTTCTACAAGAAATGCTGTTGGGATTTTGATTGGCATTGCATTAAACCTATAGAGAACTTTTGGTAATATCGCCATTTTGATGATGTTAGTTCTGCCTATCCATGAACAGGGTATATTTTTCCATCTTCTAAGATCTTCTTCTATTTCTCTCTTTAGGGTTCTGTAGTTTTCATTGTATAAGTCTTTCACCTCTTTTGTTAGGTTGATTCCCAAGTATTTTATTTTTTTTGAAGATATTGTGAATGGAGTGGTTGTCCTCATTTCCATTTCAGAGGATTTGTCGCTGATATACAGGAATGCCTTTGATTTATGCGTGTTGATTTTATATCCTGCCACTTTGCTGAATTCATTTATTAGCTCTAATAGTTTCTTTGTAGACCCTTTTGGGTCTGCTAGGTATAGAATCATGTCATCTGCAAATAGTGATAATTTAAGTTCTTCTTTTCCTATTTTGATGCCTTTAATTTCTTTCGTCTGTCTAATTGCTCTGGCCAGTGTTTCGAGAACTATGTTGAACAGAAGTGGTGAGAGAGGGCATCCCTGTCTTGTTCCAGATTTTAGAGGGAAGGCCTTCAATTTTTCTCCATTCAGAATGATGCTAGCCTGAGGCTAAGCATAGATTGCTTTTACAATATTGAGGTATGTTCCTGTTATCCCTAGTTTTTCTAGAGTTTTGAACATAAAGGGATGCTGTACTTTGTCAAATGCTTTTTCCGCATCTATCGAGATGATCATATGGTTCTTATTTTTAAGTCTATTGATGTGGTGAATAACATTTATTGATTTCCGTATATTGAACCAGCCTTGCATCCCAGGGATGAATCCTACTTGATCATGGTACACAATTTTTTTGATATGTTTTTGTATCCGATTCGCCAGAATTTTATTGAGGATTTTTGCATCTAGGTTCATTAGAGATATTGGTCTGTAGTTTTCTTTCTTTGAAGTGTCTTTGTCTAGTTTAGGTATCAGGGTGATGTTGGCCTCATAGAATGAATTTGGAAGTTCTCCCTCTTTTTATATTTCCTGAAGTAGCTTGAAAAGTATTGGTATTAGTTCCTCTTTAAAGGTTTTGTGAAACTCTGCTGTATACCCATCCGGTCCTGGGCTTTTCTTAGTTGGTAGTCTTTTTATGGTTTCTTCTATTTCCTCAATTGATATTGGTCTGTTTAGGTTGTCTATATCCTCCTGACTCAATCTGGGCAGATCATATGACTTAAGAAATTTATCGATGCCTTCACTATCTTCTAATTTACTGGAGTATAAGGATTCAAAATAATTTTTGATTATCTTCTGTATATCTGAAGTGTCTGTTGTGATATTGCCTTTTTCATCCCGTATGCTAGTAATTTGAGTTCTCTCTCTTCTTCTCTTCGCTAGCATGGCTAAGGGTCTGTCAATTTTGTTTATTTTTTCAAAGAACCAACTTTTAGTTTTGTCAATTTTTTCAATTGTTTCTTTTGTTTCGATTTCATTAATTTCAGCTCTGATTTTAATTATTTCTTGCCTTCTACTTCTTTTGCTGTTGTTTTGCTCTTCTTTTTCTAGGACTTTGAGATGAAGTATGAGATCATTTATTTGTTGGTTTTTCCTTTTTTTAAGGAATGAACTCCAAGCAATGAATTTTCCTCTTAGAACTGCTTTCAATGTGACCCATAGATTCCGATATGTTTTGTCTGTGTTTTCATTTATCTCTAAGAATTTTTTAATTTCCTCCTTGATGTCTTCTATAACCCATTGATCATTCAGTAACCTATTGTTCATTCTCCAAGTGATGTATTCTTTTTCCTTCCTTCTTTTAGCATTGATTTTCAGTTCCATTCCATTATGATCAGATAGGATGCATGGTATTATCTCTACTCCTTTATATTGTCTAAGAGTTGCCCTGTGACATAATATATGATCTATTTTTGAGAAGGATCCATGTGCTGCTGAGAAAAAAGTGTAACTGCTTGATGTTGGGTGGTATATTCTATATATGTCAATTAAGTCTAGGTTATTAATTGTGTTATTGAGTTCTATAGTTTCCTTATTCACCTTTTGTTTGGAAGATCTGTCCAGTGGCGAGAGAGGTGTGTTGAAGTCTCCCATGATTATTGTATGGTGGTCTATTAGACTCTTGAACTTGAGAAGAGTTTGTTTGATGAACATAGCTGCACCATTGTTTGGGGCATATATATTTATGATTGTTATGTCTTGTTGGTGTATGGTTCCCTTAAGCAGTATGTAGTGTCCCTCTTTATCCCTTTTGATTAACTTTGGCTTGATATATATTTTATTTGATATGAGTATGGACACTCCTGCTTGTTTCCAAAGTCTATATGAGTGATATGATTTTTCCCAACCTTTCACCTTCAGCCTATGTATGTCTTTTCCTATCAAATGCGTCTCCTGTAGGCAGCATATTGTTGGGTCTTGTTGTGTGATCCATTCTACTAGCCTGTGTCTCTTGATTGGTGAGTTTAAGCCATTAACATTTAGGGTTATTATTGAGATATGGGTTGTTCTTCCAGCCATATTTGTTTATTTATGTTACTAAACATGGTTTGTTTTCCTCTTTGATTATTTTTCCCCCCTTTACTGTCCTACCTCCCACTGTTGGTTTTCATTGTTATTTTCCATTTCCTCTTCCTGTAATGTTTTGCCAAGGATGTTTTGAAGAGATGGTTTTCTAGCTGCAAATTCTTTTAACTTTTTTTATCGTGGAAGGTTTTAATTTCATCTTCCATCCTGAAGCTTAATTTCGCTGGAAACACAATTCTTGGTTGGAACCCATTTTCTTTCAGTGTTTGAAATATGTTATTCCAGGATCTTCTAGCTTTCAGAGTCTGTGTTGAAAGATCAGCTGTTATCCTGATTGGCTTACCCCTAAATGTGATCTGCTTCCTTTCTCTTGTAGCTTTTAAAATTCTCTCCTTATTCTGTATGTTGGGCATCTTCATTATAATGTGTCTAGGTGTGGGCCTCTTATGATTTTGCACATTCGGCGTCCTGTAGGCTTCTAGGATTTGGGATTCTGTCTTGTTCTTCAAGTCTGGGAAGTTTTCTCGTATTATTTCATTGAATAGATTGCTCATTCCTTTGGTTTGAAACTCTGTCCCTTCCTGTATCCCAATGACTCTTAAATTTGGTCTCTTGATGTTATCCCATATTTCTTGGATGTTCTGCTCATGGTTTCTTAACAGTCTTGCTGAGCTGTCTATGTTCTTTTCAAGTTGAAATACTTTATCTTCATTGTCTGATGTTCTATCTTCTAAGTGTTCTACTCTGCTGGTAGTATTCTCAATTGAGTTTTTAAGTTGGTTTATTGATTCCTGCATTTCTAGGATTTCTGTTTGTTTGTTTTTTATAACCTCTATCTCCCTGTATAGTTGATCTTTTGCTTCTTGGATTTGTTTGTGTAATTCATTGTTGAAGTGATCTTTCATTGTCTGATTTTGCTGTCTGATGTCTTCCCTGAGACTCCAGATCATCTGAAGCATGTATATCCTGAATTCTTTATCTGACATTCCATCTGCTACAGCTATTACCTCTTCTAACGTTGAGTTGACCTGCATTGCTTGTGGTCCTTTCTTTCCTTGTCTCTTCATACTGTTCGCGTTCCTTTCTACTTGGTGAAACTGTTGTGCTATTGAATTGTCCCCCTATATATTTATATTGGTCTTGTATAGTTGCAAAGTCTCCCTCGCAGGCGCGGGCGGCGGCTCTGCCCCTCCTCCAATTAGGGCAATGTGCCTACCACGCTGGCAGGCCGCTGGGCCTGCTCTGCCGGTCGGTAGCAGGTCCGCCTACCTTGCAGGCGCGGGCGGCGGCTCTGTCCCTCTGCGGGCCGCTAGGCTTGTTCTGTCGGTGGTCCTAGTTCTGCCTACTTTGCAGGCGCAGGCAGCGGCACTGCCCCTCTGCAGGCCTCTGGGGCTGTTCTGCTAGTGGGTCGCAGGTCCGCCTACCTTGTAGGCGTGGGGGGGGGCGGCTCTACCCTTCCTCAGGCCACTGGGTCTGTTCTGTCGGTTGCAGGTCTGGCCTGTTCTGATGGTGGTCACAGTTCCGTCTACCTTGCAGGCGCGGGGGGAGGGGGCGGCTCTGCCTCTCAGCAGGCCGCTGGGCCTGCTCTGTGGGTGGTCACAGTTCCGTCTACCTTGCCGGCGCAGGGGGAGGGCGCGGCTCTGCCTCTCAGCAGGCCGCTGCTCCTCTTCTGCCGGTGGGTCGCCAGCCCGCCTACCTTGCAGGAGTGATTGGAAGCTCTGCCCCTCCGCGGGCCACTGGGCCTTTTCTGTTGGTGGTCACAGTTCCGCCTACCTTGCAGGCGCGGGGGGTGGGTGGCGGCTCTGCCCCTCAGCAGGCCGCTGGGCCTGCTCTGTGGGTGGTCACAGTTCCGTCTACCTTGCCGGCGCAGGGGGAGGGGGCGGCTCTGCCTCTCAGCAGGCCGCTGCTCCTCTTCTGCCGGAGGGTCGAAGGCCCGCCTACCTTGCATGAGTGATTGGAAGCTCTCCCATTTGTTTATCTTATCAAAGACTAACTCAACATAAAATCCTTATTGAACACTAGAAAAAAAAGGAGTTTAACAGTTTTTGTAAAGAAATAATGTTATCCATTATTATGTATGTGCTTCTTCTTCTTTATTCAAATTTAGGGTAATACTTCATAATATCATTCAAAGAATATTTATGGAAACCCTTTTTCACATTCAGAATTGTTACACAGATATTTATATATCATGCTTATATTGTACATGCATATATTTCTATACTGTTTTCCTCATTTTATATCCCAACATTAACTTAATATTTAAAAGCACTTATCTTTACAACCTCTATAAACTTTTTTTAAGAGAGAGAGAGAGAGAGAGAGAGAGAGAGAGAGAGAGAGAGAGAGAGAGGGAGAATTTTTAATATTTATTTATTTATTTTTAGTTTTTCGGCAGACACAACATCTTTGTTTGTATGTGGTGCTGAGGATCGAACCCGGGTGGCACGCATGCCAGGCAAGCACACTACCGCTTGAGCCACATTCCCAGCTCCAAACTTTTTATAGTTAATAGGAATGTAAATGTTTTCTTGTATTTCGTAATTTTGGAACTCTCTTGTCTATTGTAAACATGAATACTGAATTTATTATTTTAATTCAAATTAAGCTCCACAGTAAAGCAGCTTTACATTTGTCAGATTTGTGCAGTCAAGAGAATGTTATGAGCTTAAAACAAGAGAAATGGGGTCAGGTAAGAATGAATAGGCATAGATTTAGGAATGGATGCTAAAAGTGACAATTGAAAAGGTTTCATGAGTAGTTTCACCTTGTCATATTTAGGGGCCAAGGGTGGGATACACAACTACATATTCTTATTACACAAGGTCACATGATAGTCCATGTTTTAAAAGACCCAATGAGAAGCATATGCTCCTAAGACAACACAAGGAGTCTAGAAAGAACAACTGGAAGTTCTCTTATCTCTACCCACTACTGCCTGGTGTGTGTGGTTTATCTTTCTTTTATATTCCCTTCTCCAGTTAAGAAATCAATGTTTGCTTTTTCTCAGGCAAAAAAAAAAAAGAAAAGAAAAAAGTGACAATACTAAATAATACATTATTAACACAAAACTGTTCATTTTAACTTTATAGGAGATTTGTTCAGTTTCTCATTTGACATGAAATTTAAAACATTTATCAGATAAGGAAAAAATTTCATAGTTATAGACCCATGTTTCTGGTTTTAAACTAACCTGCACTTGATTGGCACTGGTCCGTGCTGAGAAATTAACATAAAAAGGGAAGTACTGGTCCTTTTCCAAGTGATTCATTAGTTTGTCTTTCACATACACTGATTTTCCAGTGCCTGTTGGACCCACAAAAAGCAGTGGCCTTTATGAAAATAATGAATATATCATTTAAAATGTAAGAAATTTGGAATATATTTTCACTGAAAGAAGCTGGAGTTAGTTGAAAACTTAAATCATAAATTATTCTTTATCTAAAAATTCACACTTTTATCTATAATTATTTTATTAAAGATTACTAAAATTAATGATTGGCATACATTTTTGCATAATGTTGCAGTGTCTAATAGTAATAAATTATTATTTAAACAGATTAATGTTAGTATGAACAAAACCACCCATAAACCCAGGCATGGTAGTGCATGTAATTCCAGCTATTTGAAAGGCTGAGATGGGAGTATTGCAAATTAGAAGCCAGTCTGGGCAATTTAGTGAGACCCCATATCATAACCATACCCCACACCCCAAAATGAAACACTCATAAAACAAATAATGATATGTTTGTTTGTTTTTTCATAAAAGAAAGTCTAAGTTTGTCTCCCCAGAAAGGTGATGTATTTGTACTTCAAATTTGGGGTAGAGACATAGGGTTGGCAGTGTGGAGAAGAATAATAAAGTGATAATGTTATAGGTTTAGGATTTTAAAAATTAAAAGCATAAAATTTTGGTGAAAATGAAATAACAGTGAATTCTCAAGCTAAATGTATATATGTATGTGTATACACACACACACACACACATACACACACACCTGTTAAGAGCATTTTTAAATCAATTCAATTACTAACTGAAATTATTTGTCTAAAAGAAAACTCTAGGAAATTCCTCCTTCAGTGAGACCTCAATCAGGGTTTCCCATTCTTGAATAAAATTTACTAATTTGAAAGGGGAAACAATCATATGAGTTTATGTTCACAAAACTAAGGAATTGAGAAATTGAAAAACTAAGTTTGAGAAATGTTGCAGTAAAATGAAATATTTTCACCTTGGTAATTTCTCACCATATAATACATAAAAATAAATGCAAAGGTTGGCACTGAAACTGAGCAGTACTCAGTTGTAAAAGGTTACCTAAGTGAGCCAAATTATGCTAATATTGAAGGAGGAACACCAAGTTAAAGTTCTTTTAGAACTACTATAGGGGATGGGGTTGTGGCTCAGTGGTAGAGTGCTTGCCCAGCATGTGTGAAGCACTGGGCTCAATTCTCAGCATCACATATAAATAAATGAATAAAATAAAGGTCCATCAACATCTAAAAAAATTTTTTTTTAAATACTATAGTCTTCAAATCCACTGCTGCATCTTATTAGTGTGTTAATAAAGAAGCAGAAACTTGACTACTATAACTCAAATATACTCAGTATTTTAATACATTTTTATACAAGTAATTTCCTCTGTAATTATGTACTTATTAATTTTAAAATATTTTTCTTGTTGTTGTTGTTTTGAGGTGGTTTCTCACTATGATGCCCAGGCTAGCCTTATCCTCCTATATTAGGCTCCCAAGACCTGCTACAAAGTTTTGACTATTAGCCTCTAAAGTTAAAAAAATGCAACTAGAGATACAAAACAGGGATAAAATAATTTTCCCCATAGCTATTTTCCTGTTTTTTTTAAAAACCAACATGAAAGTGCTACAAAATACACTCAGATGCAAGTTCTTTATTTAAAAATAACATGACATTTATAAAGTTTAAGTAGTATTGATGATAAGTTACACCTAATGTTTTAAAAGAAACTGAAAATATTATTTTAAAAGTTGGCATGGTGCCAGACATGGTAGTATATATCTAATCTTAGCTACTTGAGAGGCTGAGGCAGGAGAATCACAAATTCAAATCCAGCCTTAGCAACTTAACAAGACTCTGTCTCAAAATACAAAAGAAAGGGCTGGGGAGGTAGCTCAGTAGTGCAGTGCAGGGTTCAATCCCAAGTATTCCAAAAAAAAAAAAAAAAAAAAGTTGGTATAGATATGGCTACAGTAAATGTCTAGTCTCCTGACCAGTTTTATATACTATTTTTTGATGTATTATTCTGATTAAAATCTGAGTTTGTAATATTCATATTAAGCTATGGAATCAGAACCAGCATAGAACATATTTTAAAAAATGCTAAGTGTAATGGAAGAATGTGGATCATCATCAGTTTGATATCAAAGATATCTTAGATATCAAAATGAACTATAACTAAGCTATAATGTATAACTTTTCACAATAACATTGCAACTGGCTTTTAGTCATCTGTTACAAACAAGAGAAATACAAGGTGACTCACAAGATAACAAATATGATGGCAGATGTTGGAGTACACAATAGGAAACCTGAATTCTAGGTTTGCCAATAGCACAGATGTCACTTTAGGCATACAATTAGTCCCCTAGGATCTCGGTTACCTGAAATTGGATAACCTCAGAGTTTACTTTAAAAATTGCTGTAATTGTATTAGAATGAACTGTTACATTTAAAATTCATGTATATAATAGGGTTCCTTACTTTGCATAGGTAATACTCAAATCCATTAGAAATGTATATCTAATTGTGTCCATCGTAGGGACTATGATATCTTGAATCTTGATGCGCTTATCTTCTAAATCAGTACTTTTAATTAATTCATTCCAATGGAGCCATCGACCTCGGTTTTTCAACTACAAGAGAATATATTTCAAAATATTATAACAATGCAACTGCTATACCCAAAAGGCTCTTTAGTTTTAGAAGCACACAGTGGAACACACCTGTGATCCCAGCTACTTGGGAAGCTGTGGCTGGAAAAGTCCAAGTTCAAGGCTAGCCTGGGCAATTTAGCAAGACCTTGTCTCCAAAATAAAATACAAAGACTGGGATGTAGCTTAGTGATACCCTGTATTCAATTTTCAGTACCACAAAAGTCAAAACAAGACAAAACAAAAAAAACTTCTGATCTTTTCCTCTTTTTATGGAAATATTAGATTTGTATAAAAGAATATAAGTAATAAAGCAGATTAATAATATAAATACCCATGAATCTACCACCCAGTTTAAGATATATATTTTTCTTTAGACTTTTCTTTTTAAATGATAATCTGAAAAATGTAACGTTACTTTATTACTATTTTAACATATCTAGAATTCCAAATATATTTGCCTTTATGTCCTCTTAAACACTCTAATCTCCCCCCAAATCCTTTAAGATATCAATTTGCATTTATTTTTAAAATTTTTTTTATTTTTTTAATATATTTTTTTTTGTTTGTTTTCGGCAGACACAACATCTTTGTTTGTATGTGGTGCTGAGGATTGAACCCGGGCCGCACGTATGCCAGGCGAGCGCGCAACCTCTTGAGCCACATCCCCAGCCCTCAATTTGCATTTAAATGCCACATATTTATCTGAAAGCCACTATAATGTACCTCTAGTTAGAATTTTCTGCATTTTGAGACCATGTTTTTCATATTTTGAGTAAACAAGCAATAATCTAAAAACATCACTTTAATTCTCTATATTTGTTTCTATAAAATTATTCTCTTTGGCATTTTGATACTGGCTGATAGTCTAACAGGACATATCAGCATGGTGGAACTAATTGTTAAAATACTGAAATTCTTCTGAACCACTGGCTGAATGAGTTATTGTGCTGACACAATTAAGTGCTTTTCCATCTGCACCATTTCTACCCATTATTTTCTTCTTCATGTTGTCTTTCTCCCTGGAGACTACCAGGCTTTCCACTGTCAAGTAATAATAAAAGGACTCTTACCTGGCAAAGTAGCAGAAGCCTAGGATCTTGCTCTGGTGTTATAGCTGGCTCTAAGAATCTTTTCCTATTTTCTAGTCGTTTATATATGTCTATGACACATGTATATCTGGTGGTCATTTTTCAAATTTGGGTAAACATTTCTTTAGTAATTCATTATTTTAAGTTTTAGCTTTTATTTTCATCAAAGTTATATAAACACATATTTTAGAGACAAAAGATTTACAAGAAAAACAGTAGTTCCCTCCTCCCATTTTCCCCTCCAGTGGCAACTACCTTTACCTCTTTAATCCAGCCATTTTGATATTTACCTTCGATTCTTAAAAGAACATGCTGGCATTACTACCTCTTGGTTTTTCACTTTTAGTGAGTACTTCATTGACTTCTCTCTCTGACTACTGAGATTGAAACTCTTTCTGGTCATATTCTTAAATTTCTGTGTCAGCATATTTTGAGGGAAGGAGTCCCACACTGTTGTTGGTCTGCCAAACTGGGTTCAAGTTCTGGCTCTGCTAGCCACTTACCTTTCAAAGTTTCTATAATTTAGGTAAAATTAGAATTAAGGCTCTATCAAGATCTTCTGGATTGTGAAATAAAATTTGTATGAATAAAATGATGTTTAAATACTTACTATTTAAAAGAATCCTTTTGTGGATTCTTTTTATATAAAGTGGAATAGTAAATTAAAATTAAACATGAAATTATATGATATTATTAAAGCAAATCTATACTACCAACAAGTTATAGAACAAGAAATAAAGCGATGAAAAAGCTTACCTCAAGAATCTAAATCACACTGGGATAGAAAATCAGGAGCTTTGTCTACTGATTCAAGACACTATGTTTTATATCTTATCATAATAAACATTTTATGTCATACCTCATACATGTAGTCATAGACCAGGCCTTTTTCTTCAAATTGGCATTCCCATTTACCCACACCATCTGGCACTGGGTATTTTTCATTTTTGCCCATTATAAGTGATCTTATGAAAGAATCAAAATTAAGACGACTATCTGTATCACAACCTCCTCCAATGGACCATATTAAAGAGAATATAAAGCAAGCCTGTTGATGAAAAAAAATTAAAAGAAATTTAAAGAAAAACTTAACTAAAATTTAACATACCAGGACTTGCTCAAACTAGTTGGTCACAGATATGAATAAAGTACAATGAAGCACAGCTAAGCTATATGAAGAGTCATTTCTCTGGCAATATTTATGAAAAATTCAAATGCCCATACTAAATTACCTAGGAATTTAACTTTATCTTCAAATATATTCCTGCCTGTGAAAATGCACAATAATTGTGATTGCAGCACTATTTGTAAATGACAAAAGATCAGAAACAACCCAAATGTTCTTCAACAGGGGTTATGTTTAATATTATGCTACACATACTAACATATATGTAGCTCTTAAAAAACAAAGTGACTCTTAAGTACTGATATGAAACAAACTCCAAGACACATTTTGAGAATACAAAAGAAGTATATGCATAAAATACCTCTAGTAAGCTACAGAGGAATGAAATGAAACAGACTCTGAAATTAGGGCAACTTCTTGATACCTGTTTTTCAGCATCCTGTACTTCCTCAGACTGAGAGAAGAGGCTAAAGGGCAGCCTCTCACTTCCCTGCCCTGTCCTACCACCTCAACCTGCTGGAAGCCAGGAAACCTTAGACTTGAATGTTTCTGATGAACACAGGCTAGCTATATCTACACATTTATGTTTTCTACCTTTGTCCTGCTCTGCCTTCTAAAAGTTTTTTGTATTGCTGAACTCCCCAGAGATGGAGATTTGAAACTGAAAGATTTCTTCCATATTCTTCAAAGCTGGCTTTGAATAAACCAAATTTCCTGCCAAAGTTCTCTGAGTTTTTAGTGGAGTGACAAGTAATTATTTTGTAAAAGGTAATACTGATGTGTATGGAAGAATGTTAGATATTAGTCCTGCGAAAAATAGTTCCAAGCCTGGGGGTAGGGAGAAGGGATAGATAAATTATACTTCAAAGATATCTGTTCAGGGCTGGAGTTGTGGCTCAGTGGTAAAGCACTTGCCTGACATGTGTGAGGCCCTGGGTTCGGTCCTCAGCACCACATATAAATAAATAAAGTAAAAGATCCATTGACAACTAAAAATATTTTTTAAAAGTATATCTGTTCAATTTTTTTCTGAAGTGGAGGTATGTAACAATAACAAGGGAGGCAGAAAGGAAGAAGTTATGGTTATCAGGAAACCTTGGAATGTGAGATGTCTAAGGTAGAATATTTTCTGTGACAACAAAGTGAATGGAAAACAACAGGAGGGAACTGCTATGACCATAGAGTAAGAGGACAGCAGAAAACCTCAAGGCATTAAGAATGCAGTGGCAGTCCTCCTTTGGCAGCACATATTAATAAAATTAGAATGATACAGAGATGATTAGCATGGCCCCTGCACAAGGATGATATGTGAATTCTTGAAGTGTTCCATATTATTGCAATTATGAAAATGACTAACATATAGAATAAGAATAAAATTTTAAAGGCTGTCAGAAACTTTCCATGATAAACAAAAGTTAAAAGAACTAGAAGAAAAAGTAGGCCCAACTCTCTAACATGCCGGCTTGGGAACCAAATTCCTCAACAATACTCCTAAAGTAAAAGAAGTAAAATCAAGAATCAATGACTAGAATGGTATCCAACTGAAAAGCTTCTTCACAGCAAAAGAAACAATCAAGAATGTGTACAATTCGCTGCGGAGCCGGAGGAGGAGGGGAGAGGCCTGGAGGACACCAACATGAACAAGTTGAAATCATCGCAGAAGGATAAAGTTCGTCAGTTTATGATCTTCACACAATCTAGTGAAAAAACAGCAATCCTCAAGATGAAAATAAAATTGGAATAGATGGTATACAGCAGTTCTGTGATGACCTCGCACTTGATCCAGCCAGCATTAGTGTGTTGATCATTGCATGGAAGTTCAGAGCAGCAACACAGTGCGAGTTCTCCAAACAGGAGTTCATGGATGGCATGACAGAATTAGGATGTGACAGCATAGAAAAACTAAAGGCCCAAATACCCAAGATGGAACAAGAATTGAAAGAACCAGGACGATTTAAGGATTTTTACCAGTTTACTTTTAATTTTGCAAAGAATCCAGGACAAAAAGGATTAGATCTAGAAATGGCCATTGCCTACTGGAACTTAGTGCTTAATGGAAGATTTAAATTCTTAGACTTATGGAATAAATTTTTGTTGGAACATCATAAACGATCAATACCAAAAGATACTTGGAATCTTCTTTTAGACTTCAGTACAATGATTGCAGATGACATGTCTAATTACGATGAAGAAGGAGCATGGCCTGTTCTCATTGATGACTTTGTGGAATTTGCACACCCTCAAATTGCTGGGACAAAAAGTACAACAGTTTAGCACTAAAGGAACCTTCTAGAATGTACATAGTCTGTACAATAAATACAACGGAAAATTGCACAGTCGATTTCTGCTGGCTGGACTGAACTGAAGATCAATCCTCACAATTCAAACTGAGGGTTGAGACAAAACTTTAAGGATACATCTTGGACCATATCGTATTTCATTCTTCTAATGGTGGTTTGGGCTTGTCTTCTAGTCTGGGCCGCTCTAAACATTTATAATTCCAACGTTGTGGATTTCATCTTATATCTGTGGACCATCCTAGTTTATTCTCCCATAAGTCTTAGAAGCTTTATGGTGATTATTTTGAGGTTTCCATTCTCGCATAAAGCACAATGCTGTCTTCATCAGAAAACAGTTTGGCATAAGAATTAAACATAATGAACATCACAAACAATTTATAAGAACTTCTTAAATATATGCTTTGGGCTAGTTGCAAAGACTATGCTGATAGCACTTCCAATGAGAGTGATATATTTAAGTGTACTGGATCTGAAATGGTGTTTTGGTTTGGGGGGATATTTTTTTTTCCTGACAAATCACATGTGTTGTTGATGTGCGTAGAGAATCTGATGAAAGAAACGTCAAAATAACCAACGTGAAAAATTTTTAGGATAACTTGGTGCCTACCTGAAAAATGTGTTTCAGACTCATAATTTCAAAAAGGTTTCACAGAACTAGTCTGCATTTAACTTTACCCATGTTTATATATAATGGTCCTACAGGGAGCTTTTATTTAGAAAATGTCTGCATAATGTTAGATTCCACTCTTATCTACATTATGCGCTACATAATTAGATTTCATTATGCTTTTGAAATGCTTATATGCCTATCAATAAGTTAAACTATTTAATTTGTTTTGAATGTTTTGGGTTGCCACACAATACAATATTCTAAATTTAGGCATAAGGGTTTTTGGTTTTGTTTTTGTTTTTTTCTTTCTGGTCATCGCACTATGGAACACAAATGAAATTCTTTTAATTTATAAAAAGATAGTAGGAATTAAATTTTGGAAATGGTTGTGATGAGCCATGAAGTTCAATCTATATAATATAGGTACTGCTCTTTCAGAAAAGTAGTCCATTTTTGATGACTTCTTATTTTGTTGAAATTGCTTTAACTGCTAATCACTGTGGTTGCCAAATATTTACTTCAGGAGCAAAGATTTTCAAACAAGCATGTACTTGATGCAAAATACCAATCTGGCTTCTATTTTTGTAAACTAGTCTTTTTACTGTTTTTCTTTCACTCAAATTAGTTCAGTTTTCACATCAAAGCAGAATACTCTCTTGTATGCATTTTTTTTTATTACAAGACCCATGAACTGCTTTCCTGCTGAAAGTGCTCATTTCTCTGCTTATTTACTGACATGTGAAGAAGGGTTTATTGGTTTCTTAAACATTTCCGTAAGGCATGTTAAAAATGCTGAACTTCAAACGTTAGATGACTGTGGTCTCTTAATAGGAACAGATATTGCTTGGTATTTCCAGGTACTCTCTAAGGTCTAGTATTAAAAAAGGAATGTATGTATGTACTTCAGAATAGCAGTACGTTTTATGCAGATGTGGAAATGATTTTAAGAAACAATGACATTAAAACTGCTTTTTATTTACATGATTTGGAAATTGACTAAAAAGCTTATCCCATAGATATTATATTAATATTCCAATCATAACTTTAATTGAAGAATGTAAGTCTGCAGAAAGAAGAATTATAAAATTTCTGTTCAGGTTACAAGAATTGGTTATTATAAAAGAAAAACAAAAGAAGGAAAAGAATCCTGCTGTTTTCAGTATTTCCTGATTTAATTTTTGTAAATATGAAGAGGAACTTCAATTATGAAAAAATTTTAAATGATACATATATGTGTTTTCTGTCTTAAAGATTCAAGTTTTATTTTCTGTCTTAAAGATTTCAAGTTATGTTAAAACCAACAGTGGGAGGTAGGACAGTAAAGGGGGGGGGAAATAATCAAAGAGGAAAACAAACAATGTTTAGTAACAGAAATAAACAAATATGGCTGGAAGAACAACCCATATCTCAATAATAACCCTAAATGTTAATGGCTTAAACTCACCAATTAAGAGACACAGGCTAGTAGAATGGATCACACAACAAGACCCAACAATATGCTGCCTACAGGAGACGCATTTGATAGGAAAAGACATACATAGGCTGAAGGTGAAAGGTTGGGAAAAATCATATCACTCATATGGACTTCGGAAACAAGCAGGCGTGTCCATACTCATATCAAATAAAATAGATTTCAAGCCAAAGTTAATCAAAAGGGATAAAGAGGGACACTACATACTGCTTAAGGGAACCATACACCAACAAGACATAACAATCATAAATATATATGCCCCAAACAATGGTGCAGCTATGTTCATCAAACAAACTCTTCTCAAGTTCAAGAGTCTAATAGACCACCATACAATAATCATGGGAGACTTCAACACACCTCTCTCGCCACTGGACAGATCTTCCAAACAAAAGGTGAATAAGGAAACTATAGAACTCAATAACACAATTAATAACCTAGACTTAATTGACATATATAGAGTATACCACCCAACATCAAGCAGTTACACTTTTTTCTCAGCAGCACATGGATCCTTCTCAAAAATAGATCATATATTATGTCA